ATATCTCTATGCAATATTCGGTGGCCGCCACTAGGCATCCACCTCAGCGGGGCATAGCCTCAGCTAGTGCAAGTGCTCACAAAGCACAAACCGTAGCTGCCGAGAGGCAGCGGGAGGAGCGTACCGTCCCACTTGATGGGGGTCGCTGACTCTCAAATTTTAGCGGAGGTTGGCCTGTTATTTGACCAGCCAATCATCATGCCGCAGTACGACTGGGACCAGTTCCGCGCGTTGCTCACCGAGCCGAGAAGCGTCGCATCCTCGCGATGTTCTGCTTCGCCACCGCACCTATCAGCGTACGTTCTGCAAAACCTCCCCACTTGCCCCAAAGGGCAGGTGAAATGAAGTATGATCTATTGACGTCTTTCCAGTGCGACTGGGAGAAAGTTGCCACAGCGACTAGTCCTGCTCCAACCAATTCCACCACTTTACGGACAGCAACATGAATACGACTACCTTTTCAAGCGGCGTTGCGGAATCTCACCCGAGATTAACCATCCCAAGCACTCAGCAGATCCATCTTCTTGGGTTCCGGTGCTTGGGTTGGGAGCCAGACCGCAATCGCGCTAGCCATTGCGAATAACGGAGGCGCAGCCCGCGAGCTCTGCACTTATATGCGGCTCTCACTAGACGTCTTGCATGTCATCGATTATCAGGAGCCTGGAAGCAACAGCGCAATCCTCTACCAAGCACTTAGCAGACCCACTTATTTGGGTTCCGGTGCTCGGATTCGCGCTTGCAGCTTCCTCCTTGGAACGCCCTGTAGCCGCCCGTAGTAGTGATCCGATGCAGCACCTTGGCCTCCAGCATGACACGCTCGGCTTCCAACAGGACGCACTCAACGCATTGCCGCGGTCCAGCATGAGATGGAAGAGCATGCGCCGGGGATATTGACTAAGACTCCAGTCGTGGGTCTTTATGGCGTTGCAGAAGGTACGATCTTTTCCGGCGTCCCGTGCATCAACCTCCACAACCGTATGGCCGAAGACTCAGGTCGAAAACGCCATACGCCCGGGATCGTACGTCTGTTGTTCTCTCTTCCGCGGTGGACATTCTTCTTGGCCCGTCACCTTGAGCGGCTCGCGGCCCATTGGATCGCGTCCGGTAGCCTCCGGCACGTCAGGCAACGTCGGCTCGCGTCCGACTTCATCATCGACGAGTGGCCTGTTCCAGGTACTGATAACCAGCACTCAATCCGGCGTCTAGTACCGCAGCCTGCTCCGCCATCTGGTGTTCGAACATCACGAGATATTAATCCTTTGTGGATGCACAGATTTTCGCAGCACCCACGAGTCCATTCATGAGTCGATCATGAGTCCGCCCACAACGCGGAGTCGGACTGCGGCCGTTCAGTCCCGGACGAAGTACCTGTCGAAGCTCACTAGCGAGACATTGTACTGGGAAAAGGTGGAGAAGGTGGCGAAATTAATGGACGACATTAAGCGGAAGATAGATTTGGGAAGATCAAGAAAAACCTAGTCTGATGGGCAAGGCAAAGAAACTTGCGGCTCCGCGCCTAATCCGCGCACATACAATCTGCCACTAACCGCGTCCGCGCAGAGCCACTTGTGCTCGTCATCTGCCCAGCTCGTGAGCTCGTCGTCGAAATCTTCGACAACGCAAACACTGGAGTCAGATATCGAAAGCAGATATCGACTTCGAAAGAGATATGACAGACGGATATCTCTTGAAAAAACATAGCGGAAAGCTCTCGCAAGAAGAACCCGAAAGACTCAGTAGAGCTCCGGTCAAAAAAGACACAAGTCTTAGTGGACTCAAGTAAGGGAACTGGTCCTCCCTCTACCCCCAACCGTCCGCGCACTACGGTCCCTGTGCTGTGTCCGCTCTGGCAGGCAGGGACTCGTACCCTGGCTCCACACCATCCGCAGAGTTGGATCTGCAGCTCTCCTATATGCTGTCGTCTGTGGCTCTATGCGGGTCAACCACAATATCGCTCTTCGGGTGTGCTGTTCAAGCGCTCCATTCATCCCGGCCCTATGGAACGAACCGGCCCTCGCTATCATGTCAAAGCAGAAGTCTTTGCCCGGTCTGCCGGTTCCGTCGCTAGTGATTGGGATGAAATGGAGTCGGTTCGCTTTGCGCCTCGGGACACTAACTCGGTTGGTACCTGTTCAGATGTCGACATGAGTGATGCTGAGTCGATAACAACTCAGCACGGCAGTGTCATGTCCGTTGACACTCCGTCTGCTGATGCTCCGTCTCTTACTGCTCCGTCTCTTGCTGCCCCGTCCTTTGTCGCTTCATTCGCATCTGCTCCAGGCCTCGGGGAGCAATGGCTTCTGGAAATGGAAGAATGGCAGAGAGCTGGCGGACCTGAGCAAGAGATAGTCCGTGAGACCCGGGTCTCGGTGGACGGAAGGTTGGTGCCGGGAAGGCCTCTGGAAGAGAAAACTTGGGCAGAATGACTGAGGCGATTGCGGAGGAGATGAATTGAGAAGGTATTGGAACAGTTGGACTTCTTTGACTGAATTTTGAGATGCAGGATGGCAGGGCTTGAAGTCAAAGAACCAATGAACGGATAGCAGAAGCTCCATCGGGCTGTATACAGTCTCAGGTACGCTTTGAAAGGATCTGGCGGGTTTTGCTATGTTGATTGTGATGGTGTTATACTTCGGGAGACCGTAGAGGCGGTCTGTTCGTTTATGGTACACTCCGTAGATAACCAACCGCCGCGCAAGAACTGCTTAGGAGCGGTGTGCGATAAACTCTTGCTCAGCAGATTACCACTCATAATCATGCTATCGCTTCATCGCGGCCCGGAGGCCGGTTACCAGTGCACATCCCTTGCATTGACTGTGTGGCACCTATCTACGTACACCAGACGTCCTCCCTTCTTCCCAATTCCCACCTCATGATCATCCGAATCACCAAGCCCCTGTGTGGACGCTTTCTCACTGGCCGAACAGCCTTCATCTGGCAAAACAACCACCCTGAAAAGCAATCCCAGATTGGACCAGTTGCTCGTAGTGCCAGAGGCGCTTTCCCTCACCACCCCCTTGAGACCTCGCAACTCACCGCCGTGAGAAACTCCCACTACTTCCGAACAACATTACGCCATCCAGCTACTCCCAAGCCGCCGTCACTCATTGCCCCCTGCAGAACGGACTGGATATGACCTGTTAAAGAGATCTTCAGCATCAGGCAAGATCAAAGCGCCGCCTCGAGTCTCGACTCACCTCAGTGCAATCCCTTCACATCACCGCGACACCTTCCCGACTCCAAGCCCCCTCAGCTTGAGTAGCCTTCCTTCCCAGCCGTCGATACACCCGCTCACCAGCGAGCTCGCGAAACTCGAGCAGTAGTAAAGCTGACATAAGTCCTTCAAAGCGAAAGCATCACCCGAACGAGCCGGCAATAGTGAGCGACGCGCTGAACCACCCTTCCCTGACATACTCATGACGCGCCGTCGAACCCGATTGCGGACAGCGTCCTCACGCAATGAACGTTGAGCCGCTACCCCTGGACAAGAGATTAACACATAGAAGGCAACATACACAAGCGAACCAGCTGCACAGCATCAAGGCGAGACCAAGCCAGCGCGGCGGGATGCTTTCACCGACGCGCTGCTCGTTGCGGCGGCTTGCTGAGTTCGAATCAACTCCTGAAGACGGCTTCGTCTCCCCCCCCAGAACCATCACTCCTACGTGCCACTCGAGTCTTCTACACGCCCTCACACGCGGCATGATCTCCGAAGCGCAAATTCCGATACAAACACCTCGACGCTCCCTCAAACCACAACGGTTCTGCGACAGCCGAAGAACACTTCCAGAAGGAGGGAGCAGAAGCCGCCAGCCATGAGTAGCGAGCGGCACAGAGTAACACTTCATCGGAAAGCCTCAGACGTAACAGGTGCCGCCATGAAATGAAAGCGCAGGAGGACGGCTCTGAAGAACCACTGAGACCGGGAGGGCTCATTGCAGGCGGGAGATACTCCAGGGATGGTCTGGCCCGCACCCGTCCTGACGCTGGAGCATCGAAGGGAGGCAGACCATGGTGGAAAGCTGACAGGCTGGCTGAACAGACAGGAGTGACCGGCGATGAGGTGTGGAACTTGTCCTTGATACCGTTGCAGGAGGACAATCGGTCAGCAGCCACTGCAACCAACGCAGCGGATGCAGTCCTGGGGGTTAAGTCAGGTTGTTAGCCTGCAGCTGCTAACAACCGGTCATGCCAGCGAAGGGATCCAGCTCATACCTCTTAGCAAGCGAGGGCAAACCTCCCGCCGCCCCGGTCCTTCTTGGCCCCTGCATCAGCAAGCGGCTTCAATCTCCCCTCCCACAATTCGAGCACGTCCTAGCGAAGATATCCTCCATTCCTGACTCGACCAAACCTAAATTCCAAGCATAGATGCAGCTGTCAAAGACACAACCCTACGGCGGCTCCCGAAGACGACGACAGCGGTGGGTTGGAGGAGGTGGATACAACTGGATAGCGGGAAGGTCAAGGCAGCGTGGAGCGCCTGGCTGAAAGAGCATGGAAGATCTCCTGGATCTGGGGCAACCTGGACGGTGGCCATGTGCGGCAAAGACGATCCTCAGGTTAAGAACTTATGGGTGCCCTTGAGGTCATGGGTTACAAAGAATGGATTTTCGACCCAGTAAGAGATGGAAGCTGTCGAAAATATATATGTGTGGAGATGCGCACAGGAACTCAGGACCATGGGCACGCAAGAGCATAAAGCCTTGACGATAAGAGTTTCGGAACGTCCGTGCACCGCTAAGCGGCCATGCAGTAGAAGGGCATGCTTTGATCAACTCGAAAGGCTTCCATCCGGACCAACTGCTGTCTTCCAAAGCACGATTTGCACGAGCGAAGTAAGGAGTCACGATCCAGGGAAGAAAGGAAAAACGTTAACGTTCTTTTGGTACAAGATTCGAGTGCTTAAATACATCTCCGCAGCTACCTTCCTGGGAAAGACATCAGTTAGGGCAAGCGAGACCGGGCAATCCACAACATACTAGTAACACAACTACCACGAGATGCCCATCAGGGTCAATTCCGCCTATCACTCCGCAAGTCTCATCCTTCAAAACTCCTCCCACAATGCCGGGTTTATTGATGCCGAAGAGACTTATCAGCCCATGTGCGCGGAGTGGACCCAGCAGCCTCTTCATGAGAGCCTGTCGCACCAGACGTGTAGCTCCAATCCCTGGGAGGCGCCGGGTCCCATCTCTGCCTCTGTGGCGATGATCTGTGTCGGCTGCGTGAGCGCGACGCGCTGGGCGATCGATGACGACGTTGTGGTGGAGGCGAGCGAGATCTTGAGGGAGTCGGAGACCTGCGGCGTGAGCGCCGGGGTGGAGTAGGTGATATAGACCTCTGCCTAGATGAACTTAAGCGTGAAGGTCTTAGTGGAGAAGGCGACCGCGGTCGACGCCTGTCATCCCTCCTGCTACCAGAAGGGACGTAAGTGTCCACGTCGCGCCTTTCGGCTGGCCACTCTCTACGTGACGTTGCTTCGCTTGTGCCGCATTCCTAGCTGTTGCAACGTTGTCGTCCTGGACCACGCCGATGACCTTGGAGGATCCGGGATGCGGTAGTGGCAGTCGAACTGCATCTCCTCCCAGACAACCAGCAAGAAGACCGCGAGAATGAAGACAATGGGCCAGTTCTTTGGCTTCTCACCGGAGTAAACAGAACTCTACAGCACGGAGAGCTTAGCGCGGAGAGCTCCTCGAGGATGTCCTTCTGCAGCTCGCGCCAAAAGCAGGCGACTTTCCGCGATTGTGAGGAGCCATTAACCGGGACGTGGTCCAAGGGAGCTACAGCGTACGCCCCGACGACACCAAGACTTCTTCGGTGAAGGCGGATCTCTCGGTGGCACCTTCTGGGACTGCTCGGGCACCGTGCGAAGCTCTTCGTTGTCGTTTTGGAGTGACTGGCAGTGGCGGCTGAGCTCGTTCAGCGTCTCGGCGTTGGCTTGACTCACGGCTTGCTCGAAGCCGCGGTGGGCGGATGCCATGATCGAACCCCGTCGACGCTCTTCGGCCTGTTGAAGGATGATGCCGGGAATATCACCGAGTCCGTCTCCGTTCGAATCTTTGAAGGAAGCAGGGTAGATCTGGTAGACCGACGCCTCCTTCCACCACACGCGGCCTGAGTGTCGAACGGCACGTCATGCGATGCTCGACTCTTAGGCTGTTCTCATCCAGCTGCAGAATAATCGTCAGCGCATTCCTACTGCTCGAACACGGTAACGGAGCCCTCAACTCACTGAGCCCGACCGCAGACTCCACATGCTCCCCTCGGCTCCTTGTGGCTTCCCGGCATCGGCGCGAGCAGAGCAAGTGAGGGTGCAGGCGTGTCCGGTGTACCTGCTCATCCCTCGCCACCCCTACGTACATGGTTGCTACGGTGTCCTTGCCCAAGACGGACTCCGGATCATGGAACGGCTGCCCTCGATTGATTGATGGAATCCGAAGCTGCCCGTGTGTAACGGGGCGGTGCTCGTCGCTAGCTGCTGTTGTCAGTCAGTGCTACTGGGGAATCGCCTCAACCAAGATTCGTAGAAAGCGTCATACCTTTGGGCTCTCGCCACAGACAATCGATGCCGGGACTGTTACCGGGATGCGGCTCGCGGAAATTGTCGGGAGTGCGTCGCCTTCTCGGAGGAGATCTCGAGTCCCGGCGCGGTCCTCGATCAAGGTTTCTGTCTCCTTGGGGCGATCCGCGTCCTCTGCCGCGGATCCGGCCCCGGTCTGCTCGCGGTGCTAGACAGTGAGATTGCCGCTGGTGGGCCAGACGTGTTTGTGGGTGTTGCGTTCAAGCTTCCGGTAGAGGAGACAATGGCACGTTTCTTTGGCCACGGGAACGATGGCGGGAGTATCTTCGTGGCTCTCTCCGTCCTTGGCCTCGGCCTCGGCAGGGGCAGGGGGCAGGGGCAGCGCCGACAGAAGTGAATCTGGGAGCGGCTTCCCCAGATACCAGCTCATCCGCACGGTTGGGCCCGTCAGTGGTGGTGTCTTCCATGGCTGTGGGGGCCTCCTCGCCCCTGACCTCAGCACACGCAAGGAGAAAAGCATCCGCAACGCAAAACGCACGGCACCCAGCAGCACATGCTGGTAATCTTCTCTACGAGGTATTCATTGCCACGGGCGGCAAGGCCACGCCGCAGTTCTTTCCGTATACATAGGCTCCTCAGCTGAGTGAAACTCTTGATCTCGGACTCGCCGGCCCTGAGAACTAAAGTGAGCGGCTCCTCTATGCGGGGAGGAGTCCATCTCAGCTGGAAGCAGTCAGGAAGACGCAATACCGAGCGTCTTCTGTAAGACTTTGCGCGAAGTTGCGCATACCGTACATGTCACTGAACTTGCTGTTTTTCGACCTCCTCGCCGCTGGCGTCGTCCTTGGGTTTTCTCCAGATGTAGAAGTCTCGGAACTCGCTGTCCTTAGACTTCTTTGCCGCCTGGAACCACCCGTACTGATTTGACGTGTGATTGACCACCATGTCCATCACGAACTTCATCCCTCGGCTATCCAAGGCCCGAATGAGCTTGTCGAAAGAAACTGGTCGATGACCTTCCTGTGGCACCATTCTTCGCCGACTAACTCCCACGATCTTGCCCGTCTCGCCATCAAATCGGCAGGACACGGATGATGATGTGCAGTTCCTTGAGCTTCGTCGGCTTGTCAAGCAGACAAATCATTGCGGCGTTGGGGACCCATTGCAGCGCGGGAGTGAGCTTAGCACCGAACACGTTCAGAAGCTCAATTCGCTTCAGATCGATCTCAACTTTCATTGGTTGGTGCCTTTCGGTGAGTGGGCCGCGTCGGTTTGCTGAGGCTAGACGATGATGAGGGTGACGTGGAGTAGACAGACGGCTTGATGGTAAGAGCTTCTACGGCGGCCACGGAGAGCCCACCGCGCCCTTGGGTCTTTGCTGCAGTGCGACATGGCGTTGATTCGCCGCCTCATGGCTCTTAATGTACGTGCCGTAGCACTTTTCCATTGCCGTGAGGTTCTGCAAGAAGGCTCGTTGCTTTGCTTGATGAACAACGCTGTATCTGTACGGGACGAGCAAGAACTGGCTTTCTGTGCTGCGCGTCATCTAGCTGACCTGGGAAGCCGGAAGAAGACTGATCCATTGTCGCGACCTTCATACAGATGATGAATGGATGCTTGAGCGCTTCGTTCGGAGTACATCGCTTTTCCAGATTCGGAAGTAGGACAGCTGTCAAGAGAGTCGGCGAAGGGAGTCAGCTCTTTCACATCTCCACCACCGAGGCCTTTTGTTGCACTCAGCAGGCGGAGTATCAGGTCGCGTGTGTGTCTGAGGATGATCGTCATGCGAACGACGTCCTTGCCGGTAATCTTGTCAGACGTCTACTCCGTCTTCTACGGCCACCGCCTAGATCCCTTGGTCACTTGCGCGGCACCCGAGAACGAGCAAAATGCAGCGATCTGGTTCCACTTCTCCCTCTCAAAGCGCTCTTCAACCCGACGCGCTCCTCGACCATCTTCTTCGCTTCGAACGGCTTGGGCTTGTCATCTTCCTCGATATCGGAAGCAGCTGTGTTTCTCATACCACTGCTGCCGGAAAACCCACGGCAGCTCCGAAACGAACGTGATCTGGCCGCTTCGTACCGTTCCAAGATCTGTCGTGCCGTCGGCATGATGTCTCCTTTTCTGCACAAAGGCACCCTGAGGGTGGTCAGCAAATGCCATGTGCTGTTTGGAGCTGACAGACGTGGAAGAGTACTCACGGTATGGTCGTCCGCGCCCGGCTCGGCCCGCTAGAAGGTTGCCTATTCCCAGTTGTGTCTCTCGTGAACCACAAGAACCAGTGTAACGGCGGAGGTTCCTGATGCGGCCACAGTACCACCGAGATCAGGCGTCGTGTCGCTGTCAACTACCATCGGGTCGGTAGCAGCGGTAGTCGCAGCTCCAGCGTCCTGAAGCTTCTTGAACTGCTTCTGCAGGAAGGCGCCCTAGACATATTCAGCAAACGCACTTAGTACAAGACGCAGAGAAGCATGGAAAAGTACCCATAGTGTAGTCGTCCGTGCCCAGCTCCTTCATGGCGGCGGCGGTCGGATTCCACTTCTCCTGCTCAAGGAGCTCCTCGACCGTCTTCTTAGCCTCAAAGCCTTGATGTTGGCCTTCAGGCGGGCGTAGCGGTACCCTGACTGTCCGTCCGGACGCACCAGCATCTGCATGTATGCACTGTGCAGATGGGGGCTCCCACGACTGATTCGGGAGAATTGACTCGGCGGGTTTCTTGCCGGTGATCATCTCCCACATGTCGTTGATCTCAGCCCATGGTTTGCCCTCCTACAGGGGTGTCAGCTTGATCGCTGCAGTCACAAGCATCACAACAGTGTGATCTGGTGGTGCCGTCCGATGTTGGTGGGTTGGACTCACCTCCTTCATCTTCAGCAAGACCTTGTCGGCTTGGAAGAGTACCAGCCAGCACCAGGCTGAGAAGTAGACGGTGGTGGAGGGTGAAACTCCCACCTGCCAGTGGTAGTACGGAACTGGCTTGTGGCAGCCAAGCGTTCATAGCGACGTTGCTTTTTGATCCTTCGATGCCGGCTCTTCCTATCATACCGAAGCAGAATCTCCATCGGCGGAAGATTTGATCCATATCCCACGCCAAGAAGATGACGAATGGTGGTGTCTCGTCGGTGCACCTTTCTGAACCAGCCGCGGAGGACTGGCATGTGCAAGGGCAGCAGGGCTAGGTACGGGTTTGAGACGGTCGGTTTCTCAAATGATGCCTCAGGTTTTACTCCATCCAAGAAAACTTCTGAAGTCGTAAAGGAAGCCTTCGCACGACTGTCTACATAGACAATAAGGTCTGAGGTGCATCTGCGCTGAGGAAGAGCAGTGGAAGAGTAAGGGAAGTAAATTACATCCCTCGCTTGAAAAAGTCTTCAGTGACAGCATAGGTAATGCTGGCAGACTCGAAGGATCGGCGGGATTGCGGGAAGTCGACGGTGTTCCACCCGGTATCGCTGCTCCCTGCTCGGACACTCCGCAAACCGTTTGGCAGTACATGTCGAGTGCATTCGATTCCTGGCTACAGCCTCAGAGGCGCCCTTGATGAAGACCATCGGCGCATTTCGCATCAGAATATTTCTTGTCGGGCATGAAATGACGATGGAATATCGGTTTCGCCTCGGCTTGGTAGTTCAGGCAGTTGAACCCAGAGCTTCCTGCGAGAGGGCGAACGGCTTGATTCCTCTGGGCTCCAAATCGACTGTTTCTACAGCGTCTCGCACTTTCGTACGAGCTGTAAGACCTGGTCACCGTTGTGCTCATGTCGATTTGTATACTGAAAGACGATTCCGAGATCCGACTTGGCAGGGTCGGGTACTGGCCAGGAGAAGTTGCGTGCAGACCTTCCCCACCCCAGACATGCCGGCCGGTGTTGCGCAAAGATCCGGGGACAGGATTTGAGACAACCAAGCAGTCGGCATCAAAGTTCCGCTGGCAATCAGCTCGCGAACTCCGTCAGGGATCGTGAGGAGGATAACGGTTCGAACGCGGGTAGGAGCGACGGTTGCCGCATCATGCTGGGTCTCACGTAGAGACACTATCAGATAAGGAACATGCCAGGCGGCGATGAAGCGAGACAGACCGATGTGAGAGGCTGTTGGCCCCGTGGTCCTGTCAAGATCGCCTAGGAACCGGCGCTCGCTCCGTCCTGCAGCGATTGGTCATGGCGACTCCAATACTCCCATGCACGGTTTGAAGGAGCGGGCGAAGAGAACTCGCCCACCACTGACCACACACAGCACCGAACCGTAAGGCGAAATTAGCAATCCGTTGGTGTCCTTGAAGATAGGGTCGGCGGGCCCCCCGACCCCACCAGAACACAAGCCTTGGTCGGCTTGGACTTTGCCGACAGAGAGCGCCTCGATGTCAATCAGCCAGTAGAAGACAATGTAACGAAGGCGACTGGAGGCCGGAGACCGGAGATGATGTGCTTGTGGAGATACTCCAGGCAGCGCTCCTCCTTGGTAGCTCCACATCGCCACCACTGGCATTGTCGGCATTGTCGTCTTCGAATTTGCGCTCAAAGGCTTTCGCAACCGCCGGCATCGCATTGGCCATTCCAACTGTGAGTCCTCCAGGAAAGGACTCCTCGAGCCGAGTTTTTACAGAACCCGCATCCTTCACGTCTTCCTTGAGATCCGAGGGTGCCACTAGATCCGGTACGGCAGAACCGGAACGTCATCAAGACCTTTGAGAGTGAAGGTCTCCTCATCCAGCTCTTTCTTGGCAGATGGACGCCGACGGGGATCTGGAGTGGGTAAAGCACGGCCATTTCAGCCGGCGTGAGCTGGGCTGAATCATGCTTCTCTTGTTCTTGTTGTTGCTTGGACTTGAAGAGATGCTCGATCTTTACCTTCAGCGACTGGGTCCAGGGCGCACAAGATCTGGCACCTTGATGGAGTACGTCCCCAGTTCTCGATGAGCTTGTCGGTAGCCCACGAAGACCTCTTCAGTCAGTTGACCCAGACGTTGCCGTCAGGCCAGTTTGCGTGGTTCCAGTCGTTCCACATGCCTCCGTCCTGCAAGATCACGTATGGCTCTGCATGTGGCCGGCCGTTCTCCATGACTTCGAAGATGAGATGAGCCTCAGTCCCCGGTATGGGTTCGTGCGGTAAACATCTCAAACACACGCTGGACATCTGGATCAGCGTTACCAGTATTGTGCGCAAGTAACTCTTCCGCATCATCAAAGGGCCGCGGTGGGACTGTATGGCTTACTTAGCATGGACTCAACAACAGAGAAAGGGTAGCGTACCAGTTCGAGGATGTCACCCCAAGCTTCTCGAGCGTTGCGGTGTCATTCGAATGTGATCACCTGGCCGGCGCCGCAGACTCAGCCACCACGAATCAAGAATCGGAGGCCTCTTCCCACCACGCGCGATGAACGGGGGCCTGAATTGAACCCATGATGCAACAAATGCGTCAATGGCTTCGAGGGAAGACCGGATCAATTTCAGAAGCGGTTGCTGCACTGGAATGAGAGTGAACATCGGGACCGACTGCGTTGTTCCACAACCTTCTGACACCTCCGGGCGCCATTGTCGTTGGGAGCCGGAGTAGTCTAGTGTCCTCCCTCGTGGCTGAGTCCGTGGAGTCCTGATACCGGCAACCCCCCTAGCCATCTCAGCGTTGAGATACTGGGGAGACGCTTGTGAACGTCCCGCTACAGCTCTGCCAACTCGGGTGCAAGTGAACTGGCAGCCTTCCAGGTGTGTCAAGTATGCTCTCCGACCCTTCCCCATGTACCCCGCAAGGGCAACCCACCAAGTGCTGGATGCCGACGGAACAGGATGGCTTCTTCAAACGGGTGTGTTGGACATGGTGGTTGCGGAACCGAGAAGCGAGTGGTAGCCGCAGGCAGAGCAAGGATTGAAGAGACGGAGACTGATGTATCCGAACCCCTCAAGATCGGTCTCGTGGATCTTCCACCGTATGTTGAGCGTCGGTAAGAAGGCAGAGGGTTGGTGTTCGGCCTGCGCCAGCGGAAGGGCGGTCGAGACGGATTTTGCAGGCAGCGGAATCTCGAGTCTCTGCGAGTAAGAGTACTGTGCCAATGTCAGCCTCTGCGAAGATCCTCGAGAGAAAGGCGAAGACCAACGGTGCTACTCCCGGCGGCCGGCCATCAGATCTTGTGCCAACTGGAACAGCCTTCCGTCCACACACCCCAGTGGCGGCATGCTCCAAGCACCTATGTTCAAGGTCCATGAGGAATGAAGTGGCCTTGATGCGTTTGTGCCTCGACTCTTTCGGGATGCGCCGTCACGTGACTGGTGCTGTTCTCTACTCGAAGAGTTCTCGCCTTGCGGTGGGAGCAAGAAGAGACGGCGGAGCGGTGGCGGTTCTGAGGCCAGCAGTCAGCTCATGGCCATCCAAAGATGCAGGGGTGTCTTGTTGCTCTACGTACGAAGGAAAGGCCGGATCTTGCCATGGCCGTCGGACACAATGACCCTTCCGGGTGTATTTGAATCCTCAGATCCTCGCTCGGCGTCGACTCCACCATGCAGATGAAGACGGAGAGGCTTCCAAGTGTCAGTAAGGATGTTCCGCTCAGCCAAGTAGGGATATGGCGTCGAACACTGTCAAGAGTTGCCTTGTTGCGGGAGACGGGAGAGCCAGCGTGCAATTGTGAACGTCGACGGCGGCAGGCTTCCAAGCTCTTGAATCTGGGGACGCTGCATCAAGACAGATGACGGGAAGGTATCATAACCAGATCCCAGATCTACTGGCTGCTAAGGCATGGTGTTTCGGTTTGGTGGGCGGCATTCGTCAAGATCTTCGTGGTGCCGGCGAGACGTTGACTTCTGGCGGCGGTATGGATGTTGCTTGGTGTCGGTCCATGGTAGCAGGACCTGCCAATCAAGCTATCAGCTCTTGTACGTGTGTGGTGTTGATGATGCTGGGGTACGGAAGGGGAAGAGCAGCTGGGGTGGTGCGACCGACGACCTTCGGATTGCCAACGACAACGATGGAAGCAGTGAGGATTTCGAACTCGCGAACGATTTTGAGTATCCTCTGATGCTCCTTGCGAAGCTATGAGTCCTGCAAGCCTTGCGTTGTGGTGTGGTGCGTGAGGATAGGATGTGCAGAGCCAGCCGTGCGACCGGACCCCCTGAGGGCGGCGGCAACAACCATCCACACAGTGAGGTTTGCGAGGTCGATAACGATCTTTGGCACTGTATGAAGCTGTTCGTACTTGTTGGGAGCCTTGCAGGCATTGTGTTGTGGTGTTGGAAGGCAAAACAGGGTGAAAAATTGGAAGTCGATCTTACCGGCGGAGGCCCAAAACCTCATTCAACCTCCACGCAACGCGGTAAAGGAGTGTAGATACTTGAGGCACAAGCTTGCTGTCTATCTTCCGAAGCTTCTGAGCTTGTTGCAAGATGCGAAAGACGTTGTTGTGGCTTGTGGTTGTGGAGGGAGGTGGTGGAGGAAGGGAAGATCGACTTGGCTTGACGATTGAAGATTGGCAAAACACCAGCGCCGCGGTGTCGAAACAGCGTATCTGGCATGCTGCAGGGCTTCCTGAGGTGCTAAGTAAGCTTGCCTTACTGCCAAAGAGTGTCCGGAGGATGGTGGTAGGTGGTGGTGTTGAGGATCGCTCAGTGGTGCAGATCGAAAAGTCGCCGGACCGCAGCTTCAGGTCGACGGCATGAGCAATAAGGCGGTCGCAAAAGTGAAAAGAAGTACTGCTAAGCTTGCAAAGACGTCTTCCCAGCTGGGACAAGCTGAAATACCTCGATTCAGATCGTTGTTGTCGAGTAGGGAGGCTGAGGGGTGGGTGTGGTGGGCGAAGCGGCATGAAGCTGTAGAAGTTCTTGGGGAAGCTCCAAAGTGGGGGGGGACAGCTCCGTGCATCAATGGCGTTTGGCGTCAACGGGGAACACGGCTCGCTGCAGAAGCTTTCAGGGCCGCCGGCTGTCAAAAGGCTTGTCTTGAGTCCCCTCTCCAACAAACCCCCCAGGAGGCGTATTCTGTACACATGCTCTGAACAGCTTCGGCTAGTCAACCCCGTCGGAGTCAAGGAGCAACGAAGCCAACTAAACAAGTCAAGCGGAGTATGAGGCACGCAGAGTCCCACAGCATTATCCCCGGCTGCAATCAATGTCCAGCCCATTACACAGACACGATGATCCGCCGCCACGACGCAGATATGTAGGCCGCCTACATGGGAGCAGCCTGGCACGGAGATAACAGGTAAATGGTTCTCCGGAAAAGAAGCACAGCAGCAGCCTATGCTGGTGGAAAACATGCGGACCAAGCAGCTCTGAACTCAACGAAAGTTCCACTAGAGCTCATTTTGAAATACGGAAGAGCGCGCGGCGTCCAAGTCGCATAGTGGCCGCTTCGATATGACTGGAAAAGGACCCACGGCACCCTCTCCTTTTCTTTTGTTCCACTCACGGCAGAGCCCATCATACCGCTGCTGCAGGGGACGGAACAGCTGCTCCCTCCTTCCTGCTAATTGAGAGTTGGGCTGGTTTGTCAAAAACGGTGTCTTAACAACCAGCTAGGGATGCAGCAGATCATCAAACAGTCCGCTTGAATGAACAGGCACACACTCGCAGGCACAATCGTTGCAGTTCCGGGCATAGAACTTTTCCGCTGCCGAACAAGGACATTCCAAGGTGGTTCTCTTATTATCAGGATGACATCCCGCCCTGACCATTTCTGTTGCCCCTTTCATACCTAGTAAGCTCACCATCACGCCGGTGCAAGCGGCGTACCACACCTTAAGGCACCTCCAAAAGGATACAGAAGACACCACGCACGTATGCTTACAGCCGGAATGCTCTACCATAGCGCTAAAATCCGGGACATCATAAAATTATTAGAACAAAGAAGCAGGCACATGGCTTTTTCATTCAATCGTGCGAAATCCACATGAGATGGAGGGCAGGATTTCAAACTGTAATACAGGAGGCCTCGGAGACTATGCTACAGCTGCTCTAGTAATTCCAGCTGCTCCGCTTCGAAGGAATGCGTATTGAGTAAGTGAAAGTACGGCGTTCGAGTGGCTGCTGCAAGATTCAATCACAGTTTTCGTTCCCTGCCCGTGCCATCAGTTCGTTTGTTCATTTGGATTCAATGCAAAGCTTCATTAAACCGAGCATGATCTGCATGGCCGTTGTCCTCCCTGCCGGTTTGTCGGGTGCTTAGACAATCTCTGCACAGAAGGGATGTGAGGAGGGTTTCCATGATGGCTAGCGTGTTGGTCATACTACTGTAATTACTCTGCGTATCCACGTTCTGCATTCGCAATATACCCTAACGTAAAGGCAAGCAACAGCTCCCCCATCCTTGCCGCCGGAGCCAGCTGAACGCACGTGACCATGCTGGAGTCAGAAACTTGCCAATAGACTATGATTGAGCCTTGTACCGCCCGCAGAACCATTGTAAACCGCATTGATATGTTCTCGCCGTCGGTTAGACCCTCTGCTCCCGCTCCGTTTCAAGCAAACGCTTTTTCCTACAGCAGCCGAACAGCTCGGCCAGGCCAGAATTTTGGTGTTGTCGGCGGCTCGGGAGCCGCAAGTGCCGATGCGCCGACGGAAGGCATGTATTCCCGCTCACGTGACCATCCGCCTTGCGACTCTTCAATGCAACTGCTCTTGTCGTGCGCGAAAAGATGCGGCATGCGCGAATGACTCTGAGAGTTCAACCCCGTCTACTTCACTCAGCTCCGAACGTTGACTAGTAGCTAAGGTATGAGATAAGCTGTACTTTGAGTACGATCGTAACACGGATGGCCCGCATATCCTGTCACGCAGTCGGCTAATGTTGGAGGGAACGGAGACGCAATAGAAGGCGACAAGAACACAACTACGTCGTTTGAGAAGGAGACGATTGGTAGAGGGCATGCAAGAGACACAGGAGCTACAAAGACATGCATGCCTAGTTTCTAGCGCCTTTCTTCCCTTCTTGACGACAGGATTCTAAGACGTATCACGATCGTATATAAACTAACAGAAGGCCATATCGAAGCCGTCGAAGCTATGTAATGAGAGTACAAACGGACTTTGGGCTGTGGAGCGAGGACCGAAAAACTGACATCATCTGAAATCAAGCATGTGATGGTCCGCCATTCTGCTACTCATCGTAAGCATCCACCGCCTGTGGAGCCTTAGTCGGCTCTCTGTTTCTGTGCCCGAAATCCCACGAGAGGCAGCCTGCTCCGCAGCAGTAGACTGCTGCATACAACGCTGACACTGCTAAGAGCCATAGCAAGCGCCGCCCAAACAGGATCAAGCCGAATATGATTTCCGTTGCTCGTAAGCGGGTAAAAGACTCCAGCCGCAACAGGTACCGCCGCCATGTTATAAATCAATGCCCAAAGGAAGTTGAATTTGATGCGCCTAAAAACGGCATGACTAAGATCGGTCAAAGTGAGGATAGCAGTTAAGTCGGATGTAAGGAGGATGAATTTGGCAGCGGAGATAGCGACGTCGGAACCAGATCCAATAGCGACCCCTACATCGGCCGTGGTAAGAGCAGGCGAGTCATTGATCCCGTCACCAACCATGGCCACCGTTGCCCGAGTCCGGTTGCTTCGCCTGCGGAATCTGCCGCTCTGTCTCTTCTGGAGTGAGTTCTGAAGATATTTGATCTTTTCAGCCTTCTGTTCCGGTAACACTCCAGCGATGATATTTTCCCGAGGAATGCCAACCTTGTCTCCGATAGCGAAGGCTGTTACGGGATTATCACCAGATATCATCCATACGTCTATGCCGCGGCGTTGTAGAGCGTTGACCACGCTGGTTGCTTCTTGTCGGAGCGGGTCTGAAACGGAGAAGATAGCTGAAAGAGTCCATTCGTCAGTTACAGAGACCGCCGCGTCCTCGGGAACGATCCTCATAGCCGTTAGAACAACCGACTTCGCCTCACTCTTCCAAGTGTTCAGCGTCCTAGCCACGTCCTCTGGTACGACCACGCCATGATCGCTCATCAGGGTCTCGTTCCCTACAAGCACGCCGATCAGTTTTCCTGGGTGCGCTGTGGCGGTAAACGAGCCTTTCATCCCTCTACCTGCAATTTCGAAAGTTTCCTTTGTCGTGAAACCGCTTGCATTCCGTGCCTTGCAGAAACCGACCACCGCTCTAGCGATAGGATGGGAGCTGTCTTCCTCCAGCATCTTGACTGTAGCAAAGGCAGTATCCTCGTCGGCAAAGCCTTCGCCACTACCGTTAGTGTAGAGGTAGTCAGTAATAACAGGTTCGCCGCCCTGCGTCAAAGTCCCCGTCTTGTCGAAAACTATGCAGTCAAGCTGGCTGGTTTCTTGGAAAGCTTCTCCGCCTCCCTTTACTAGGATACCGTATTTCGCTGCTAAACCACCGCCAACAAAGAGCGCTGTTGGGGCAGCCAAACCAATACCGCAAGGACAAGCGATGACGAAAACGGCGATAGCAAATTGTAGTGACCAGAATGGCCAACCCCCAACATTCGTATCACGCCAAGACTCTGGCAACGCTCCGCTAAGCCCAAGGGCTAGCCATATAATCCAGGTAGAGACCGCGACTAGAACCACAAGTGGAACGAAGTAACTCGTAAGGGCGTCGGCAACCCTCTCGACTGGCGCACGGCGTGTTTGCCCTTCCCGGACTACTTTTATGATTTGGTCTAGCATCGAAGCGCCAGCGACCCCAGTAAGACGGATTGAGATAGCGCCACCCTGGTTCACCGTACCGGAGTAGACATTGTCGCCGACCGATTTAGACACGAGCCTTGATTCACCCGTGAGACTGGACTCGTCAAACTTTGCGGAACCCGCGATGACCGTGCCATCGCAAGGGGGGGAGCCACCATGGAGGATCCTGACTATGTCGCCAGACTCGAGAAGGTCTACGTTGATTTTCTGCACGGACGTGTCGGACTGCGCCTCGGGACTATAGGCAGCCTCGCTGGAGACGAGAAGAGCTTCCGTCGGACGCAGTTTCCGTAACATCGCAACGGCGTCGCCCGTCTTAGCCTTACTATACGCTTCAATCAACCGGCCTGCGAGGAGGAACATGGTGAGGAGGACCACCGAATCGAAGTAGGACGGAGTGGCCTCGTCATCCATGCCCATGCCCATGCCCATGTCCATGTGCGGATCCTTATTGCGGGTCGCGGTGATGGCCATCTCAGCGATGGAGGAGAAGTACGCGATGGTTGTGCCCAGAGAGATAAGCATGTTCATGCTGCCGAACCGGTAGAACCGTCCAAGTATCGGCGTCTGGCTGCCTGGTCTCCATAGCGCGCGCAACTCTTTCAACATACGCCGATGGAAAATGTCGGCGGCGAAGAAGTATACGGGCGTCGCCAAAGCAAACAGCGACCACTCCATTCGACTGATCCTGCTCAAGGGCTCCATTAAGTATTGGCGATTAGGGTCGGACTCCGAGACTAGAGCCATGTACACGATGCCTATTATCAGGGTCGGGATCGCAATGACGACGGACAAGATCAGCCGATAGAGGATGTGACGCTGTTCCCGAGCTTGCATTCGCTGCGATCGTTCCTCAATCGTCATAGGATGATGGATGGAGGGCTTGAACGCAGGATCGGCGTCGGAAATGGATGCGAGAATCGTTCGCACTGTGAGTCGCGGTGCGTCAGGGGAATAGGAGACTTTGAGAATCGGGTCGCCAACGGTAGCGGGCTTGTCTAGTACTACTTCCTTGCTAAGAGCAAGGATAGCTTTCTCCATTCTTTCCGGACAATGTTCACAGTACATCCCTCCAACCTGGATTGAAACTGTCCTCCTTGAACTCTGTTGTTGGCGATTACCGCCGGCCTCTACCACTTCGATCAATTTAGCCTCGTAGCCGACATTCTCGATCGCATTTTGGATCTCATCCAAATGGTCTTTGCCCTCCAAGACAACGACAGCACTGTTCGCGAGGAGATTGACGTCAACGGCCTTGACCCATGGAAGTTGATCCACTGCTTTCGTAATACTTCCAACGCAGGAGCTGCAGGTCATGCCTCCAACCGTGTAGGACGCTTTCCATAGGTCGCTTTCCAGGCGCGGGGCGCTCGGGATCATGCGGTCCTTACCAATTTCCTCGACCTGCTCTATATCGGCCTCATAGCCAACGTCACGGATGGCCTCGATAAGCTCCTTCGTATGATCCTCGCCCGTAAATATAACGGTAGCGCTGTTGGTCAGAAGGTTGACGTTCGCGGATTCAACCCATGGTTTTTCCTCAAGACTGTGGCTGATCTTGCTAACACACGAGCTGCAGGACATGCCCTCGATCGCGAGGGATGCTATGAACTTCCTCGAAGCTGAAGTCGAATGAACAACAACGAACTTTTCGGCTTTGGCGCCGCGTTCGGTGTCCATGCTGTCAATCGGATGCGGTGCAAGCTCCTCTCCGTTCTCCGCGGCTTCATGCTCGGACCGACACTGCTCGCAATGTTCTTTATGTCTTTGCTTTTTCCTCTCCGCGGCGGCGAGGCTTCCGCTCGACCACCACCGCTGGAGGCTTTGGCCTAGCACCCAAGATCCTTGTTCTCCGTCCTGGACGAGCCTGGTCTCATCGATGATGATAGGCTGTTCCGAGAGAGGATTACCGATCACGCTGTACACCTCGTAGCCTTCATCCTCCAGCGTCTTGGCTATGGTTTCTGCGGCCAAAGACACCGGATGGACGACCGTGACGATGTGCTGAACAATTGAATGTGAGATGGAGAGGGGCTTGGGCTGGAGGCGACTAAGGACTTCTTCGATGCTCGATACACATGACGAGCAATGTAGATTCGAAATGATGAAGGCGATTTGGCGAGTTACAGTGCCGTCCATCCTACTGGCGAGATGCTCCGGAGGATAGTGACGATGGTGGTGATGTGATGGTGGTGACAGTAGAGCTGGTGGAGATGGAGGTGGCGGCGAAGTAAAGGGTTATGAGGATATTAGCTTTGTCTGTGGAATGGTTCAAGCCGACAGCTACGGTGCAGGACGAAATATATATGCGGGAGTATCCGACAAGCAGGTGATCTGACTTAAAAATCGAAGCTTGTAGATGTTGGTCGCTCCCCCTGCTATTATTAATCCGCCACATTCAGTTCCTAGGGCTGCGTGGTTTGTGCGGCGATCAACGTTGTGGCGCCGACTAGAGCGGGTCGGTAGCGTTCCCGAGTAGCGTGGTGCTTTTGGTACACACTCTGGGAAAAGATCTACAAGACTAGCCGGGGCCCCACCAGCCCGCTCTAGACACGCTGCCCGCGGGGCGGATAGTGTCAACTAGCTGGCCGGACCCAGAGATGACTGGTTCGTGGTCCGATCAGTCGTTATGTAACCTGCACCTGGAACTGCGGCATGCAGGGATCGATCGTGGGGAATCGGGCTGCGCGGTTTGTGCGTGTCGTGCCTCAGGCTGCTAAGCTAGTCCATGATGTAAAGTGGCATTTGCCCAGGCCGCGCGATTAGTGCGAGTGGGCGACTTCCAACCTGCCCAGGTGGAAGTCCTGCCCACTTCCGCCAGCGCAAAAAAGACTCGCTCATCTCAGAAGACCGCTCAACAACCAAGGGAAACGGAAACCCAAAGAAGCAACGCAGGCGACTGACGCTTCGCATTTGTCGCGCATCAATCTCGTGAAACTGAGAATCCTACGCCCTGACCGAAGATGCGATGCCGGCCAAGTCGTGTCTGGAAACACGTCTGCAGCCACGGCGTTAAAGATTGCAAGGCAGAGGGTCACATGAGGGGGAAACTTCCAAGGGTGGTTGTCACGGCCGGTCTGTCAAAGGTGGTGAAACGCAGACTTGCTGGATTGTTCAGTATTGCACCCGATCACCGGGTTGGATTTCATAGCAAATAGACACATAGTGGGACACCGTACACTCATTACGGTCCTGCGCCAGACATTGCAACCTTGAACCTGTACACATGAGCTATTGCTGTGGTATTCACCTCTTGCGAGCTGGGCATCGAGTATCGATGGCGTGGTAGTATCGCAGCATCGCGGGCGAGTACGAGAGATAGGATACAATATTAGTTCTGAGAGTGTGTGGTGATTGATTTGCTGAAGAACGGCTGACAAAGCATGCTTGGCGCGCTTGGCGCACTTCGCCCTCCATTCGAGCATGCTGACAGAAGCCTCGGGTGGCGGTCCCGGGGCCTTGTGATAGCGTTTAGGGCTTCTGCGCGGTTTGTGCGGTTTTTGCGCCCCCCGTAACCCTAAATCCTCGCCAGCCAATCGCAAAAATGGTGCGCCTACAGTAGTGCCATCCTGCAGACATACCCGTCCCCCGGCCTTTACCCACATTGCTTCATACGACGCATAGTGCATATCTGCCCTTTGCTCATTTCGTTCTGCTCTACTTTGAGCCTGCTTTCCTTCGAGCCTATCTCGCAGCCACGCCCCTGCTACATCATAACAGCTTTTCTGCGCCCTCACCGGCTTATTTTTCGTCGAGCCGAAGAGCTGCTAGCACTGCCATCTCCCACGTCTCGCTCCCTGCATCATCTCTTCCCTCCTTGGAGCCTTTCTGCCAGCCAACGCATCAGGACATTCATCGCAAAAGCGACCTTCGGATTGGTGAAAGGCCGCCGCACGACGATTTCTAAGCGTACCCTTTCCAGCCATCACAATGATGAGACCTGCCACCATGGGGAGTTTAATGCGGACGTCTTATCACGCGCAGGCACTTCCCTTACGCCTCACCTCCGCGCAACCGGTGTTACGCTTCGCCTCTTTCACCGGGGAGCCTTCCCATAGTCTCCGCCCAAGATTTTTTGCACAGTCAGCCGCCGTGAGCCTTTCTGCCTCTAGACGACGGTCGGGCAAACGTGAATGCAGCGGGAGTCATAGCCATGGGGAAAGCAGCGCTGTACAACCGAAGCTCGGGTTCTGGTCATCGAAGCCCATCTGGAAACGAGCCTCGATCAACACTTTTCGGTGTCTCGTTGGTTGCACGTTGGGCGACTTTTCGGCGCTCTGGTTTTTGCAGGCATTCTATCCCGACCTGGGTGTTGGCACCATCATGGGAATATCTAGTAAATAGCCTTTCCCTATCCCAGTGTGTGTGAGAAAGCCATCCTGAGGTGCTGACGGTTCTTCTGTGGCTAGTGGCTTCCGGTTTAACATCGTCAATGTTGCTTGAGACACTTCTGTTTCGATTCGGTCGTGATCAGCTGTCCTGGTCGGCAGCTGCGAGGACAGCTATGGGGATGAGTATGGTTTCGATGTTGACTATGGAATCGGTTCAGAATGCGGTAGACTACCACCTGACCGGAGGAGTAGTGGCTCTGGATGATCCCAGCTTCTGGATGGCAGCCGCGGCTTCCATCGGCGCAGGCTTCCTAGCACCTCTCCCCTATACTTACACCCGGCTGCGGAAGTACGGCAAGTCCTGCCATTGAAATCTTAGCTTGGATATGCCTTTAATGTAATGTTCAACCTCTGTATGATAGAAGACGAGCATCGTAACTGAAGAGAAAATTCGAGCCGATTTGGCTACGTCGCTACAGCCATGGTGTCTTGCCAACTGCGCGATCCGGTGCCATACCAGGCCGCGCAATTTTTGCGGCACATGCGTACCGTGAGCAGTCACTAGTAGTGGATGCTACGCCAAGCTTTTCCCGCAAAAACCACGCAGTTCTGAAGCCATGACATCGTGAACCGGATTTGACGGTGCTGCGGTTGGAACTTCCGTTAGATAATTAGACGAAATTGCAAAGCTATCTTGGCTAGAACAACTACGGATCGAGCCCTGCCAATGGCTTGCGCATGGCTCAAGATGGTAGCGGCCAGCGAAATGCCTGAAACGGCGTCGCCGCACCCAGATAAAGGAGGCGGGGAAGATTCCGAAAGGCATATGTAACGCGTATTCTCTCTCTTTGAGCCCTTCGTTCTCCGTGCCAGTTTCTCTATATCGTTTAAAACATTCCTGCCACCTTGTCTACAGAGCGCTCTTCTGCCCGCTTAAAGCATCTTTCACTTCTTGGTGCGAAGTGATGCCTTCATGCTGTGAAGTATGCCATTCACCATCGCAGTCAAATGAGAAAGGAGAAAATCCAAGTCGACAGCAGCGTCCAAGAACACCTATCAACCTCTTCTACTTCTCGCCCGTCATCACTGCGCTGCTTCACAGTTCCTGCTGCTGGGTCCCCGTACGTATATCCATAGGGATCTACGCCTAAAGCACAAATTTTACTAACTTTGATCCTTATCAGACTCTACTAGATTTCTTGTCAGTGGGATCAGCGTCTGCCATAGTCTTGCACCGCTTTCAGCCGATCTTTCTTCTCGTGACCGTCCTTGTCAACGCAGAAAGCATTCGCCGACAGGGACTTAACCGCCGGAATCTAACGCGGGTTACGCTTTCCGGGCTCCTCCTGCTACTCCCTCGGGTGCTCGAACTCATCCAGCAGGCACATAAGCCTAGCGCTCTCCACAAGAGCTGCCACTAGGCCGCTGGCAAACCAGCGCTGAGTGAAACGCCGACGCTTCCGGTCGCACCGTTAATCAAAGGGTTTGTCCGACCCGAAAGGCCGCTGTTCTTTGCAGAGCAAGGCACCCAGATTGTTGATGACACCAGAAAAGATGGCTGGTGAATGGGAGGCTGGGGTTCGTTTATGTATATGGAGGCCTCACCCGCCATGAGATGGCTCTTGAATTAAGTCACTTATTCTTGCATTTTGACACGAATGTGCTTGGAGCAGTGCACGCTTCCTCAAGGAGCATAGAACTACTATGAACACCGACAACTTTGCAGTACCGAGTGGTTTATGACAGGCATCTAGACCGTAACCTAAAGGTACTTGTACAAGCTCGTTCCGAGTCGGATCCTCGTGTACATGCGACGCTGCATGCAAACTCAGTCCCCTCTCTCGACTTCTGGAGATCGCACCAAGCATGGAAACGGGCTGGAATCAACATGCTGCGTTGTTTCGCCGCCTTAGCCTCTACTCGACTCTCCGTCTCAATCTCGCCCTGCCTAAGTGCCGTGCACCATCTCGGAAGTCGTGCCCAACTTCGCTCTCTGGCTCCATTATTGCGGTACCTTATTTGATTCAGGATGTGGACGTGTAGAGCCGATCTTGCCACTAAGTTAGACATTGCTTATTTCACTCTATTACCGGCCGGTTCTGTCCATAACCTAGCACTCCCTGGCTATCGAATACCGTCCTCATTCCGATACAAGCTTCTTTGTACGCCTGCTCCGCCACCGGGCTGCTCTTGAATGGATTTAGACTTCTGTCCCAAGCATGCTGCACCCCCGGCACCACATTGTACCGCACATGCTTTCCCAGCTCTTCTACGAGACGGCTCCGGAACCTCTCGGCCTCGGCGCGTAGTCCGTCTCATTCACAAGAATAGATGAAAATATCTTCAGGCAGCTCTTTCAACACTTCATGCGGAGCGACTCCCGGGGAGAGGTACGGATCGGATAGAGAGACTTCTTGCGGCGGATAGAGATAGGAGGCGTCGAATAGGGTTGTCATGAACTTCGGAAGCTCTCTGTCCGGTCTGACGTTGGATTTTCTACGCTCGTCTCTCGTGCTGGTGGCGAAGTCCGTGAACGGATACCAACTCACGATGACAACCACCTTGCCCTCGTTTCCCGCAAGATGTGGTGGTAACAGGGCTTGAGCGTCGCGCTCCCTTCTCCTTTGCAGCTCCTCCAGTAATCTCAGCGGCACCGTAAAGGCCAGGTTTCCGCCAGCTGAGAAGCCGCTCACGCCGATCCTGTTAGGATCAATATGGAGCTCCTCTGCGTTTTGCATGAGATAAAGGATTGCGTCGACGCCATCCTCGACAGCCGTAGGAAAGGGATATTGCGGTGCCAGCCGATAGTCAACACTGACGACCACGGCGTCGACGATGTCGACCACGGCAGTAGCCCATCGAGCGTCGTCGCCAGCATGACCGATGGTGAATCCGCCGCCGTGAAAGTTAACCAAGACCGGATACCTCGAGCCTTCCCTATCATGACGGCGTGCGGCGTATCCCTTAGGGGTGTAGAACAAGAGGGTGATGGTTCCTTTCCGGGGGGACACAGTGGCTGGAATATCTCTCCTGAAGGAAGGTGTCATTGGCTGGGGGGAAGGAAGCCGATGGAGGAGCATGCCAAAACGCATCAATGCGCGCAATATAGACGCTTCTACAGAAAGACTCCATCTTGATCGAGGCATTCCATGCGCTGCTGCAACGGAGGCTTGATGGTACTGAGACAGAAGGTGAAGTATGAAGTGAACCTGCAAGTCCTTGAATATTCTACTAGGGATTGGATTGGCAGCGGCATTTGAACGCCAATGGAGCAGAACTCTCCCAACTGGAATGCGGCATCGGTGTTTCAACCACACAGCCCGGATCTTGTGATCGTGATTGAAGATGACGGCACTGTCGAGCTAAGAGTGACCTGGCTGGGAGATATTGCGAGAATTGTGCGTTTGATGAAAGGGGCGAGAAATTGTCCTAGCATGCCCTTCACTAACCACTACGGAGGAAGACCAGAGAGGGACGCGTCACCTAATGTGCTGATGTGCGAATGCACAGACGACAGCTCGAATAATTACAATTGGCGGAAGCTAGCCAAGCCATCTTCCGCAGAAACCACGCAGGCCTGAGACCCAAGCCGTGACGGCTCGTGTCGGGCTCCTTGGGAAAGCTCTGAAGCACGGAGTAGTCGTAACTTTGGCCTAGATACCCAGACACCTGAGTAACTAGCTGCTACCTAATGTGCCCCTTGCAGAAGATGGCGGTACTCTCTGCAAGGAAGTCTACATCCACTGGTGCTGTTCGGGGCAGGCTTCGTGACGGTGTAGCCGCAGAAGTTGTTTGCACGGCATGCCCGAAAAAGCCTTGGATTGGAAGAGTCACCCTTAGCGAGGGGGCGAGACTCCCTTGATCGTCGTTGGGGACGCCCATTCAGACATTACTTACCATGTGTACTTCGTACGTGTAGCCGACGCTGCTCATGATCCTGTCTTGACCAATGCTTTCATGGCTGCAGTGTGCCAAGATTCCGCACAAATATCGCAAGCACCTCTGCCGAGGTCCGCACAAACATCGCAATTGGGGATCCCTGGCTACCTGTCTACCTGTCAGGCTCCCCGGCGGCTGGCAACCATACCCGCAGAATCATTTCCTCGTAAGATGGGTTGACGAAGGTGATCCAGTCTGCTCCAGTCTCAGTAGTTGACCATCCATTTTCTATTCATCTCGAGTCCATCTGCAATCTCTGCAATTCTCCTGCTACTGGCTTGCTTCTGCTCTCAGCGACACCAATCTCTTGCTCTCCTGCAGCTGTCAAGCTGCTTGTACATCTTGATCTATTTCTCATCTCTTTACTGTTGCTCTTCCGAAGCAGTGTCTCGAATGCAGAACTTCACTCTTACAACTTCAGGATCCATCGCGGGATTCGGGCTCCTGGTAGGCGGCCTGTAGAGCATCGAGTGTCCCCAAATCCTCGAACTCAGCTGATGAATGCTCAGACGGAGTCCCGCGCGAGGTTTACCTGATCAACGACCAGCAACCAGGCCCGCTCATTGAAACCGAGGAAGGAGACGATATTGAAGTATTCGTGACGAATGACTTAGATGTGGAAACTACCATCCATTGGCATGGTTCGTTTTCGCATCGAGTGTGTCGAGCATGAGTGCAGTTTCACGAGCTCCGATACGCTGACGCGAGTACGTTGCCAGGTATCCTGCAGCGAGGCACTCCTGATATGGACGGTGTACCGGGAGTCTCACAGGTGAGAACACATCTCATTTTATCCGCGGTGAATTCTAACGCTTACCTGCGATACAGTTCCCCGTTCCGCCAGGAGGGAACTTCACCTACCGATTCTCTGTCAAGGATGAGTACGGCTTCTACTGGTACCACTCACACTTCCGAGCGTACTATAGCGACGCCACACGCGGCCCCTTGATGATCCACCCGTCTCCGTCACGACGTCGGCCTTTCGAGGAACTTGCCAGCAGCAACGACGAACTGAGTGCCCTCCTACAAGCCGAACGCGATGCGGCCCCTGTCCTTCTGACAGACTGGTATCATCGTTTGTCAGACGAGGTGTTTGCGCAATACTTTGAGACCGGTGCCTTTCCCAATTGTGTCGATAGTCTCTTGGCTAATGGATACGGGAGAGTGCAGTGTCTGCCAGATTACATCCTTCAGGCCGGGGCTGGATTGGGAATCGAGACCCTGGTTGCCGCCGATCCGCATGATCCTGCTCCTACACCTATGGATTCTATGGATGCTATGCCAACGGGCTCTATGTCGATGGATCCGACCTCAATGGATTCCATGTCGATGGATTCCATGTCGATGGATTCTATGACGATGGATTCTATGACAACGGATTCTATGACAACGGATTCTATGACAATGGAGATGCATAGCATGCGACAGAGAGCGGCCACAGAAGACTCTGCAATGCCAGGTATGGAGACAAGCGGAGGGATGATATCCAGTCTTTCTGTCACGGCCTCCGCAACAGTATCACAGCCTCCAACCGAACCAAGCGTCATGTCGACAATGATGCCCATGTCCAGCATGTCGAGCATGTCTGACATGGGGTCATCTCCACTGGGTCCTCATGGTTGCACGCCACCGATGATGTTCAAGCCAGGCTACAACCTCACGTCTCTTCCGCCCGAAACTTGCACCAACACAACCTCGTCGCTGCTGACGATACCCGCAAACTATTCTCAGGGCTGGCTCGCTCTTAATCTTGTCAACGCGGCTTCAGTCAGCAGAATGAGTGTCTCAGTAGATGCGCACTCGATGTTCGTGTATGCTGCCGACGGGCTCTTCGTAGCGTTGCAGGAGGTCAAGGTAGGTCAATCCGCACCCGTCATGCAAGAGAGCGACTGACACATTAAGGTGCTTCATATTTCGATTGGCCAACGTTATTCAGTCATGATCAAACTCAACCAACAACCTGGGGACTACTTCCTTCGATTCGCATCTTACCCGCTCGGTGACATGCAACAAGTCATCGAAGGACAGGCTATCGTGTCGTACAACGTTAGTCATCTCTCAGCCTTAGCCTATTTCTAAACGTTCCTAACTATTTAGGTCGAGGCTACCAACGATACCAATCTGAGTAATGTTCGCTTCGATGAAGCCTCGACTTGGATGCTCACGAACGGGTCCGCGAAGCTAAACGCCTCAGAACTTGATGTGACGCTGCTTGCTGCGTTCGATGGCAACATCCCCCCCAGCACACCGGCTGATACAACTCTGTCCTTTATGATAAACCAGACAGACATTGTGACATGGGTGGTGGACGGTTCTCCCTACTTGGAGCCAGAAAGACCTATCCTCTACGGCAACGCATCTGATGGGTGGAACGCAAACACAACGTACCACTTGCCATCGAACTCGACTGTTGATATCATCATGAATATAGCAAACGACTCTTTGGATGTGGTAAGCAATACACGATCCAGACCCTTCACGATAGGACCCGCGATCATGGACACAGATTCAGGAGCTAATCATGGAGTGGAACAGATGGGACACCCAATGCACCTTCACGGACACAAATTCTGGCATCTCGGTTCCGGTAACGGCACGTTTCCGTACGATTCTCTCCTAGACGCACCCCAATCTCTCATCAACCTGCGAAACCCGCCCTACAGAGACACCATCGATCTTCCGCCATCCGGGTGGGCCGTTATCCGGTGAGCTCCCCCTCCCACCCCAATTCACACCGTGTAGTCTTTGGCAAGTGTTGACTTGAGGCAGGTACGTGACCGATAATCCGGGAGCATGGCTATTCCACTGCCACATCCAATGGCATCTTGTGGTGAGTGATTTGACAACCAGTCGCGGTGCTCGTGCGCTGACAACCAGGGAACGTGGCAGAGCGGTATGGCGTTGGTTCTCATGGAAGGCGATGAACAGCTTCCTGGGATAATCGGCGCCCGCGTCAATACAACCATGACACAGCCACCTAGCGCGGGCAGTACCACGGCTGGTGCCGCTTCCGCATATACACTACATAGTTACTTGGCTCACCTGGTTGCTGCTGCCCTTGGTGTCGTCCTTTCCTTTTATTAGTGTACCGTGTGCAACACAAAGGCAGAGTAAAGACAGGAGGAAGAGTACGTTGGGCTTGTAGTATACACAGCATGGATTTACCGTATAACATGGCTTGGGGAGCTTCGAAGGTCCTCTTCATCTAATTTTGCTACCAATACGGTGAGAGTAATACGACTCCTGTTCATGCTCCAGGCTTAGTTCCTCTAAGATGAAGGTGTTTCCGACAGAAGAACTTTGTGTAGGAGAAGGCCCACGTCTGCAGACCCCCTTTGGAATGCGTCAGAATGCCGTCCGCACTGCGAAATCGCATTTGTAGGCTAGGACATGTGTTGGGCTACCAAGTGGGCTTCTCATGTAGTACTTTGATGCTAATACAAGGAGCGAATGCGGTGTGCCGTGAATACATCTGGTGACATGTGATAGGTTGTGGCGATTAGGTTACGCAACCTCTCAACTTGCGTAGAGCCCGGAGATCTGTTCTCCACAAACGATCGACACTGAAGACCACCCTCCGCTTCCACGCCAAACAAGCCGTTAAGAATTCTCGAAACCAATCTGCCATCACGCCCCTAAGAGTAAGGAGCGAAGTTCATCATTTGCACTGCAAGATATTAGAGGCTATGCGACCGCGCAACTGTAGCTGGTGCGAGATGATATGTAGACTCAGAGGGGTGACATACTCCGCAAGTCTTGCATCCGCAACCGCCTTGGCAGTTATCGCCACAGCAATCTTTGCAACCGCAGCCAGCCATGACGCGCGAAGAGGGGGATCGTTGAAGTTGAGATCGGGTCTGGTGATAGAGTGTAGGATGTCTGAGTATTTGCAAAAGTGGTTGGTTCTGATATTCAAGGCAAGGAGGTCGGCCATGGCTCTATATACCAGACTGGAGCGCTAAGTCGAGCAGTGGGATGTAGTCTTGACGTAGCTTCAGTCCTAGCTTAGGGTCAGTGCACTCCAATCATTGGGACTCACTGTCGCTCTCCCTACGTCAACGTTATCATTTCCTGGGCACGAGGGCTTGCGACGCATGACCTCCAGCGTCATGGGCTAGGTTGGCCTCCGTTAACGTCGCGCAACTGGACGGATAGGCTCAGGCGCTAGCGGATCGAAATCGAACGCCTTTGTTTTTCAGTGTATGTCAGAGGGAAGACCAAGAATGGATGCTATCTCTCAGGCCAAGAGCAATCCACACGCAGGATACGCAGACCTGTGCGCCCTCATCCTCTTACCGGTAGCAGTGGCTTATGCAACTCGGAGATGATAAGTTGGTGCTAGAGCGCCGGACTGAAGAGCGATATCGGATTCGAGCGGTCAATCGTGCATTTCCAGCCTCGAGGGACAGGCAGCGTGGTTCCCCGCATGGAAAGCTTCCAGGTCCTCTTTAACATCTCGTGCATCCGCAGCCGCTCAGCTTGGCTCGTCAGGTCCGGAGGTCGTTGATATGGGAAATGGGCTTGCCTACATGTATGGCTGGCTGTCGCCGCAGAGCCCTATTCATGACAAGGTGGCCAAGTATGGATCCTGAGGGATGATGAAATACTATTCTTCTGGTGTTGTTCGTAGCAGCTCCTAACTGTAAAAGTTCAGCGCGGCTCTTCTTACATCCCTCGGCACACCATTTTACTTAAAGGGGTAGCTAAACACTCTGGTTTGGATGCGTCTTCGGAAGTCTTCCGCCAGCCATGCTGATAGAAACACCGGAAGGGTAAGACCCGATTGTCACGTTTCGCTACGGGTCCTGTACTGATATCTTGGCTGCGTGTGTTCGTGCGGTCTGGATTCGGACGCGTCGTTCGTGCGGACTCGGGCGGACTCGTGCGGTGCGTTGTTTGTGCGGTCGCCCCATTGTGCCGAACCTTTCCAAAAGCGTCGAATCATCTACTCCGATGGCGGAAATGGGACCTGGAAGACAAGACCTTCTAACACACGCTCTAAGACAAGGGCGTAATGCTTATTTCCACTGCGCAAGCGGGATCTTGCTGAGGGTGAAGGTGATGGTATCACAGGTCAGCAGCGCGTCACACAAGGGCGCCCAGTACAGCCCCAGTATGTACCTAGATGCTCAGCCTGCCCAGAACGAAGCTGAACCTGTTCACGAAGTGCTAACCTCTGGTTCCATGTCTAATAGAGGTTCTGTCTTCCGAGTCCCTTTTCCTTTCACCCACAGCTGAACGACCCGGCCAATTCTAGCAGCGACTCTCCCCGCCGAAAAATGATAGAATCACGTGCTGTCTTAACAAGAAGACAGCGCAGTAGATATTAAAGACTTCTAGGCTGAACTACATATATACCCTTATACCGACTCGCTATATCGGTGTAAAGCTTTCTTATAACCGCTTCTTGATAGTTACAGCTTCTCGAACAAGATTAATGCGACCATGAAGGGATGGCACGTGATTCCACGCGGGGAGAGTAGGACCTTGGTGTCGTCGGCAGTTCGGCGATCGCAAACGCCGATGCGCCAAGGACGAACTTTCTGGCGTTCCTCTTCCAACTCACGTGATGCCCTGTTTCGTGGTCCTGCAATGCCATGATGCCCTACCAACCGCTCTCATCACGCGCGAACAGATGTTGTGGTGTACGGGCAGCTCTTAGAGCTAAATCGAGCTCACTTAGTGTAGCTCCCAAGTCCGCATGGAGGCTCAGGCATGGAGTGATACGTACCTCTGATACGGTCGTAACACAAGTCGGCCCGCAACCCATGACACTCGGCCAGTTCAAAAGCTCCGTTATGCGGGGAAGGCGAGAAAAAAACCATCACACGGATCAGCGCTCTCTACGAATGGCCGACATGAGCGGCTTCAGGTGAATGACAAAGGAGAACGGCACTTTGTAAGCCAGCCGCATTGCTGTCCCATCGGCCTCTCGGCTCGTGTGAGCGCGATGCGGCGGCATTGACGTCGCATGCCCTCTGGAATGCAGCCATATATTTACTTCAGCTTGCGGAGGCTGCGAGCAGTGGCTAGTTTTTGTAGACAACCACTTAAGTCCAGACAATCTCATAACCTACTTCTCTTGATTCTTCATTCAAGTCCGTCTGTAGAGTTCAGCACTTCAACCCTCCTCGCCTTTCTTCCATTATAGCCACTCACCTCTCATACATCTCGCTTTCCTCACAGCTTCTTCTTCCTCTGCCAAAGAAGCTCTACAGCCTCTCGCCATGACATCACGACCTCCCAGCGGAGGGCCCTATCCGCCGCAGGTATGGCAGCTCGGCGGCGCGCCTAGCAAGTCAGTCGACATTCCCGTCACTGCTGTCTTCCTGGCCCTCTTCATCGGCGGCGCAGCTACGCACATGACCATCTTCCAACTAAACAAGCGCCGTGGCCACAAGTTCGTGCTCAGCCTGCTGCTCTTCGGTATGTTCTTCACTTCCCCTTCTTGGACTTGACCCAGCCCCTTGCTTCAAGCGGACAACAGTGCTAACAAGCAACGCGAATCCAGGCTTCTGCATGGCCCGCATCGTAACCTCCACCCTCCGCATCTCCTCCACCGCCCTCCCCCGAAACCTCAACCTCGCAATCGCCTCCTCCATCTTCACCGCCGCGGGGACCCTCCTCCTCTTCGTCGTGAACCTCCTCTTCGCGCAACGCATCCTGCGCTCGCTACACCCTAGCTTCGGCTGGCGCCGCCCTGTGTCCTGGGCGTTCAAGGCGCTGTACATGCTCATCGTCGCGACAATTATCATGGTCATCACGGTCGTGGTGCAGGGCTTCTTCACGCTAGACCCAGAAACCAGGAGTATCGGTCGGAGCATCCAGCTCTACGGCTCGACCTTCTTCGCCGTCGCGTCTTTCCTGCCGATCCCGATCACGCTGGCTGCGCTGGCCGCGCACCGCTTCCGCCGCCCCGGCACCGACAAGCTGGACACGCACCACACCGAACCCCTCGGCGCGGGCCCCCTCCGCACAAAAGCCGCGCTCGTCCTCACGGCCTCCCTCTTGCTCAGCGTAGCCGCGACATACAGGTGCGCGGTCGGCTGGTTCGATCCCGTGCCACGCACTCAGCCGATGCCGGACCGCTTCTCGAAAGCGGCGTTTTATGTTGTGAACTTTGGGGTTGAGGTGCTTGTTGTGTATCTGTATGCGCTGGGACGGGTGGATCGGCGGTTTTGGGTGCCGAATGGGTCGAGTAAGCGGAGGACGTACATTGTGGTGGAGGAGGAGGAGGGGAAGGGGGAGGCTGGAGATGAGGAGAAGCGGGATAGTGTACACACATCTAGACCGGCTACGGCGAGGTCGGAGGGGAGTCGGGCGAGGGATGTGGATGAGGTCAAGGCGGAGTGGGAGGTTTGAGGTCTGACTTGCAACCAATGCTCGTGTTTGGAGGGTTTGCAGCGGATTCTTCTGCCATATTGTATATATTCTGTGTATGTAATTCTACGGCACGATACCCCTCGGATATAGCCTCATTACGAATGGTCTCCTCCAACAGACTGTGCTGGAATTCTTCAAAGGAATTCGCTGTTGCATCTCATCAAGTTGGAGGAGAACGAAGAGTGCACACGTGACCCAACAAGCTGCCTAAGGCGCTACTCCAGCATCACCAACTCCCGCTATCATAACGCCTCTTCGACCCAAAACACCGCCAAACCCTTACATTTTCTCCGCTCTCCAATCTGCCTATCGGCATATCCTTCATACCGACCACACCTCTAACCCCCACCAGGCACACACCGCCCTCGAGCCACACACTCAGGCTCCACCTCCCTCTCCCTCTCCGCAATCACCACCACGACTACAAACCGAGACCCACAGCGCCGAGATCAAACCTGCTATGTCCACCTAAGCCGAAGCCGAGCGCCTCCAGCACCAGCTAACCACCGCACCTCCCATACCCCAACAAGACCCCGACCAACCCATACAGCGCTGCCGCAAGCGCAAGCGCACACCAGGAGAAGAGCTTGACGCCGAGCGTGAGAAACAATTCGCTGTTGAGGAGCAGGAGTGGAGCCGGAGGTACGAGATGCAGGATCGAAGTTTTGTTGGCGCCAGGAGGAGTGAGGGAGTGGGATTGGGGTCGGATGGAGCGGCGGAGGTGGCGGTGAGGAGGAGTGGAAGCTGTGCGAGGAAGAGGGCTAAGTGACGGTATAATGGGATATGGGAGATGTCGGGAGCTTGATGCAGACGCACGAGCGGCGAGGACGGAAACTCCTCAGTTAGCGGCCCAGAGCGGCATGTTGGATGCATGCCGTGATGCCTACAGCACTCGGTCAGCATCACGCACACGCCATGGAAGCTCTCGGGACCTCCACGACAGCTTCGCGGAGCCACATGCCAACCTCAATGGCCGCGCCTTACGACCGCGAGGTACATTCCATCATCATCAAAGCAGCTGCCGGTGCTCTCATCTACGCTTTGACCAACGCGACGCCGTCGCGATCAAAATCTTGAAGTCACAGAACCCCGTGTGTCTGGGAAACGGCCTCCGTCTACACCGCCACTAGACCTCGTTACAACCGTGAGCACATGAAGCAACCCTACTCGCCAACGTGCCTGGGACGCTTCGGAGCGTCTCCAAATTTACCACGGCTGGTGCGCGCTCCGTCCTGCCCTTCTCACTGGCTGTGACTTAAAAATATCACGTGACGTCGAGCCTGGAAAGGATTCGTAGCACTAACGCCGTAATTGTCTGTTTGGCCGTTCTGGATACATGACGAGCGAAAGACCACGAAGGGCGATGTGCGAGTGGGACCATTAAGACAGCACCGCGGTCGCACGTCTGGCTGGGCTGTGAGCATCAGCAAAAATGCAGTAGTGGACCGTTGCCGAGACCAAATATGCGGAAGTGTGTTGGGAGGTTTCGAAGCAGGTGGTGCGGAGCATTGAACAGTATGATGGGTCTGAGGTTGTCAACCGTCACGGTGCCATGTGGTTATTTATGCATCTGGGGCGCGAGATGCACCTTTCTATGGACGAGGCGGAGAGAGATCTCGTGTACCCCGTGACAGAGGAATGAAGGCGAACCTCAGAATCCAGAGGTGTGCCAACTCTGTATGTTTTCGGACGCCTGCCGTGCTATGAAGTGCTCGACTTTGGTCTTGTTCGAGAGGAAGGGCATGTCTCAAATCGTTTTCTTCAGCGTCGTTGAGATAACGTGTCATGCGACCTTCTGGGTGCTGAGTTGCAGTGCCAGGCTAACACACCCCGATCCATTGCCTGAGCAGTGGGCGGCTTCCTGCCCGAGAGGCAATTATCACTTGCTTCAACTATTCTGCCGCCGCAAGGGCTGTGAGAATAGCGAGCGCGCAAAGCCCCGCAGAAACGCCGAGCCGCCCAAGAGTTTCAAGCGCACAACCTTGCCTTATCTGGCTAGCCTGGTAGCTAAAACAGGTTTTCTGCTATAAGAATACTATATAAGGGCTTAATACTAACCTATCTCTTTAGACTCTTAATGTCCTGAATTTACAAAAATAGTGTCTACTAGAGAATTACTTTATACTTTGAGCTCTGATCTATCTATTAACGCGAATAAAGGCCTAAATCAAGCATTTCAATGCAAGTAGCTTCTTATTTTAGGTATTTCGTACCCTAGAAGCCTGTTAGTGGATTACCATCCCAACGCACTTTTAGTTTGCTGGAGGACAATAACCTGAAATCAACGTGGCCCTACGCCATGGACTTCAGCACTTCGCGTCGAACTTCAACGACGCGCAGCACCACCAGCTCTGTCGACATTGTTATCCCAAGATCTCGAACTTCCCAAAACAACATATTACTACCAACCAAAAGATCCTCACCTCGCACAAATGGCGTTACAAGCAAACCTCCTGCGACCGGCGCAACCTCCCGCAGCGCAACATCCCGTAGCACCACCTCTCCCAGCGCCGCCCTGAACGACGACACCAGCAACAATGCCACCACCGACCCCTTCGACCCCTACACCTACACCCCCCACACCTCCCTCCCGCCCATAACTCCGCGCCCCTCCTCCCAACCCCCCATCGACGCGACCGTCACCATCCTCGACCGCACCATCCCGAGCAACGGCATGCCGCTCTACCGCCTGCATATCCGGTCCTCGTCTCCTGGGGCCAGTGAAGTGGAGCTGCTGGTCCCGTTGACGCGGATCGGGGGATTCGTGTCATCGGCGCAGTTGGAGGAGTTTGAGAATGGGATATTTAGACGGGAGGGGGTTAAGGCGGTGGAGAGGGAGCGAGAGGCATTGAATGGCGCAGCCATGCGACGACTGGCGCATAAGAACGGGGCGCTGGAGCGGGAGGGGGAAGAGAGGGGCGTGAAGCGGAAGAGGGGGCCGGGGAGGCCGCCGAAGAAGAGCTATTTGGTTCAGGCGGAGAGTACGGAGGAGAGCAAGAGCACGTCTAGGACCAGTAGCTCTGTGGCTGCGGAAGTTCCGCGGAGGACGGCATATGTAGAGGTGTCAGTCACGCCGTCATCGAGGGATGCGACAACGCAAAGAAGCGAGGAGGATACGGTCAAGGCGCAGCGGACCAAAGAGGGCATTATCGAGGCACAGCAATATGCGCCGCGTTCTCCGCAGCCACTGAAGGCGGCCGACCCGGTGCAGCGGTCTGGACCGAGCTCTCCGCCGCAACCTGAGTTGGACGGTCACATGCACGATGATGTGGAGATACGAGATATAGGAGTCAAGAGCAGTTTCAATGGTGAAGTGGACGACATAGAGGATGAAGACGAAGATGAGCTCGCGCTGCCTGCTACCCTATCGAACCGTTATCCCTCCGCTCCCAGCCCGCGCATTTCATTCTATCCATCGCGCTCATCCCGTTTGTCACCTACTTCACGTCCTCCAAGGAGCTCATTCAAGACCGAGATTTCCGAGACATCAGACGAAGACGAAATCGAAGATGACGAGATCCAAAATGCAAACTCCATCACCAGACCCTCGCAGCAACTCCGTCAAGAGAACAACTCCGCACGCCTGCCCATCCGTGCATCTGCCCCCGATATCCCAGTGGCGAACAGGACTGGCTGCCCGCAGCACCCACAGCGCCGAAGAACTGGATGTAAAATCTGCCATCCAACAGCGAAATTTGAGACATGGAGACAGCAGCTCGAGAAGATTAAGGCTCCGCCTACTCGATTGCCTGCTGAGAGAGGCACCGGCGCGAAGCTCAAGAGCGGGGCAACAAAAGAGAAAAATAAGAACACGCAAGGTTCAAGGACCTCGCTGTCGAAGCCAGCACCCGGCTCAAACCAAGTCTCGCAGCCGCGTTCTCTTTCAATCCCAGCCGCGGCAAACGCCGCCTCTCCGCGGTCACGTGCCGTCTCCGGTTCTACCGACCGCTCTCCCGCTCAAACGTCCTCCCCCAACAACCCCGACAACATCCTCGACGAAGGAGAAGACATATCCGAAGGCGAGTACGAGATCGAGGCCATCCTTTCAGACAAGCTGATTGCCGGCGAGCGGTCCTATTTCGTCAAGTGGCTCGGATACGACTATGCGTCTGGCAGCTGGATGAGGGAGAGTGACTTGACGGACGCGGAGGAGCTGGTTGCCGAGTATTTGAGACGGAAGAGAGAGGCGGGTGTTGAGAGCGTGGGAGATGATGAGGATGACGATGAGGAGATGGGTGAAGAGTCGGAGGAGGAGTAGGAGATTGTGGCTAACGTCGAGCAACTAGCTTGGTTGATGGGTCTAGTTGACAAAGCGCGTGCCTAATCTTCTTCTCGCCGCCATGAGTGGGTCTGCCCCAGTCGAGGATCCGGTATCAATGAGAAGGGCCGCGGTACTCAAATTATCACCCTCTCCATGTTTCCTGTCTTTTCAACAGCTCCACGCGTGATTGTGCTTCGAGTCCCAGGGTTTATCAGCAAGTGAACCAACCAAAGTCCTGTGTGAGCAGACCAACGGGGATGATAGACGCACCGGACCAGGTCGCCGAGAACAATCACACTTCTTCGTCGTCAGCCTTGGTTATACCTCCGTCTTCTTCTTCGTTATCCGTAACTCAAACCGAGTCTTCGTCTTCACCATCATCGTCGCTTCCGGCGTTATCCTCGCTGTCGTGAGCGCCCCAGCTTATCAGCAACTCGGCTATCTCCTCGTGGCCCCGAGAGGTCGCGGCGTGCAGCGCGTTGCGAAACTCATCCCCGCCTGTCGCGTTTACATCTGCGCCCCTACTAAGCAGCAGCTCTACCACCTCCTTTCTATCTCTAGCGGATGCCGCCTGCAGCGCATTCCTATAGCGTCCACCTTGCGCGTTTACATCTGCGCCCTTGCTAAGCAGCAGCTCTACCACCTCCTTTTTACCTACCCAGCATGCCGCCTGCAGCGCATTTCCATAGAATCCACCTTGCGCATTAACGTCTGCGCCCTTGCTAAGCAGCAGCTCCACCACCTTCTTATTACCTCTAGCGAGTGCCGCCGCCTGCAGCGCATTTCCATGGTGTCCACCTTGCGCGTTAATGTCTGCGCCCTTGCTAAGCAGCAGCTTTACGACCTCCTTTTCACCTTCAGCGGATGCCACCTGTAGCGCACTTCCGTAGTGTCCACTTTGCGCGTTAACATCTATGCCCTTACTTAGTAGCAGCTCTGCTACCTCCTTATAACCCCCACACGCTGCCGCTGTCAGAGCGTTACTGTACCCCCTGCCTTGCGCATTCACGTCTGCGCCCTTGCTCAGTAGCAGCTCCACTACCTCCCTGTGGCCATTACTTGACGCCGCTAGCAAAGCGTTACCGTAAATTCCGCTATGCGCGTTCGGAGCTGCACCCTTGCCGAGTAAAAGCCCTACAACCTGTGTATGCCCATGGTCCGATGCGTGGTAAATCGGTGTAATACCTTTCTCATCCACTTCGTCAACATTATAGCCGTCTGTTACCAATCGAACGGCTAGTTCGAACAAACCAGTGGAACATGCCAGATGTAGTGCATATTTAGGTGGTTTGAGCGCGGCCCATCTTGTGCGTATCCGGGGCAAATTGTAAAGCCGAGTGGCATACAGTACTGTACTAGCAGTGACTGAGAAATTAACCGGGTCAAAATCATCATAGGCAGAGTCCCGGTCTGATGATCTCCGGAGCTGCACGACGGAAGCTAGGAGAGGGCTGTCCTGGTGGAGAAACGTATCTATCAGATGGTACACCTCCTCAGAGATGTTTTCACATAGTTGCAAGTGATGATCAAATGTTGCAGCCGCATACAAGCTAAAGGGAACACCATTCTTAACGCGAAAGTCGAGTTCCGTTGAATTTTGACAAGGACCAGAACGGAGGCTGTCGAGTTGTAGATAATGCAGGCAAGCACTAGCAAGCCTCGTGTGGACGAAGTCAGGCTCGCTAATTTGCCTCAAGCAAGATTTTTGCAGGACACCGGCCGGTGGATTTGTGAAAAATTCCTGTACCGAGTAGTGAATTGGTTGGATATCGCCGTACTTTCTAACGAAAAGGTTGGCACACGCTTCAAGTATCACGTCGATATCGTCCAGCTCGAGATCCTCTCGACGCTTGCAGGTATCTGTTATCGCTACAGCATGTCGCAACTGCGCAGTGCTGAGCGGGGTCTTCGAGTACAGCACCCACATGAAGCACCTGAAAGCGAGATCTTTCATATGCTTCTCTTGGCTGTCAATTTGGCTTAGTATCCGGGTATATGTCTCGTCTAAACCTCGCGGCAGGGTGTGAAGTGCTTCTTCAATCAGTCGATCCTTTCGTGCTTGACTGACACGGCAGAGGCTGTCGAGCTGGAGATTAACCCATAGAAACCTCATCCACTGTTAGCATCGAGTCCACGGTCAACGACGTCGCTAACTTACATGCCCTCCGCCTTGTTTGTCAAAGTGGCTATGATTTTGTCCGCGAGCGCGCTGCTTTTCAGAAAGAGCTTTTTCCCATGAATACCCTGTCTTAGCAGATCCACCCGATCTTCCACAAAAAGCCTGATGTCTTCGGCGACGTTCACCGCTTTGATCTCAATCGTCGGTATGTTATTGTCCTTGAAAGCAGTGGCGATGTCGTTTTCCCGTCTGCTGGTGACGAAGATCTTTGCACATGGCAGGCTCTTCCCAGCTTCGCAGATGAATTTCAGTATCTGGTGTCTTTCGTCCCTTAGGCATTCGTCGAGTGCATCTATGACTACAAATACCTCGTTAAAGGTTTGGGCTAGTTCAATGAACAACTCTTGCGCGGTTGCTGTGGACGGAGCCTGGGAGTCGTGCTTGAGCTTGAGGAGGGACGGTGGTATGGCATCTTTCTTACGGCACAGTTGCTTAATGAATGCTGACACGATCAGAGAAGAATCTCCAAACTCGGGGGATCGGTAGTTGTAGTATGCAAAGCAGACGCCGGTTTCTCTACGCATGCCGCGTTTGACTGTGAAGTTTGTGATATACTCCAGTACGTTGGATCTAGGAGCTGTGTCAGTCAAGCTTCGCAATATGTGATGAGGATGTCAGGGCTTACGCGAGCACAGTCTTGCCAGCTCCAGCTACATACGGTGAGCAAGATACCTGAAGCGATGATTTGATTGCATATACTTACGCGCACCGTGGCACCATAGCACGGTAGAGCTAGAACTGCAAAGCCAGTCCCTAAACTGTTGTGTCTGAGGAAGCCAGTCACCTGTGCCAGGATGCTTCGTGGCGTATATAGCGTCATGAGTCTTGTCAAAATCGATCTTGGAGATCCAGTCTAAAAAGTTCTCTCGTTCGGCCACTAAAATGGCGTTAGCATGGCAGCTTCCAAGAGGGGCAGATCAAGCAACGAACAATTCTCTCTTTCCCTGACGCGCCGTCTTTCTTCTTCCGCCTTCAGCTCCGCCATTCGGCTGTCACTGAGTTGTATAGCTTGTGCGGAATGGAGAACAACATCCAAATGGTGTTTCATTTCACGCTCAATGCTCCCAAAGGACGCTTCGAATGGCTCCCATTGGACCCGCAAGAAGATCCTTAGTGATGTTTGTGGCTTCGGGTTCCCGTTGGTGTCCAAGAACACGCGGCGTGCCCCGCTACAGAAATGCAATAGGTCGCCGTAGACTTTAGCAACCGTCTTATGGATCAGATCTAAATCGCGAGAAGCTTTTGAGTACTCCGCAAGCGGGGCGAGCCAGTCTTCGAAACGACCCAGCATGTCGGTGAGCTTTTCGAAGAAGGTCACAAACTGGACCGCAAGATCAATCACCACCCTTACCGCACCTACGACGATGCATGATATGTCTGGGTTGGATTGTGCACCGATAGCAACACCGCTCATGGGTCGCTCGAGGAAGGTCAAGAACTTCGATAGAGCTGGTGCTCGCGGACGGAAGGACGATTCACGCTTGTGGGCCTCATCCCAGTCTTCAACCCTCGACAGCAAGTTGTCCTCGGTGACGGCGGTTCCAGCCACCCGGAACGCATCTTTCTCAGCCTCAGGGAGCTGTTGTATATGCTTTTCGATTGCCGTCTCCAGCGCCCGGTTTCCTGTGGCTCCAGCGATAGCCGCAGAGCCCTGAGCGACGGGCGCTGGGGTTGGAGAGACCGACGGTGATGGCGGAGAGCTAGGCGGTAGGAGCGGACCGGTAGCCGGTAGCTGCGGAGACACGGACGCTGCTAGTGCAGATAGGACGGGTTTTTGTAACGAAATGCTTGAAGGCGAGGGGCTCGGAGCTGCTGGCGGAGCTCGCTGCGTGCCTTGGAGCCGTTGACTTATGCCTTTGCCCAGCCAACGGTCCCGTCTCCGCATCTTAGCTTGAGCGCTGGGAGGGTTATTTGGAGGCGGAGGTGACATGTCAATATCTGTAGCCTGACAAGCATAAAGAGGTCTAGCAAGCGGATTGTCCTCAACTCGGAAGACTCGCAATCTTTCTGTCGTCTCAGCGAGGTGGTGGAAGAAAGGCAGGCAGCCATAAGCTCTTTCAGCCTCGTGCGGGGTGCATGAAGCAAGCTATACATAGAATCTAAATCATTGGACAAAAGACATGCAGCTCGGACGCGTTGTGACAAGGCTACACTTTGAGGCTGAGAGCGATTGCACCACCAAACTCCTCCTCCGTCCGCTAAACCTGCCAACGGGTCTTGCTCACTCGCCTCTCAGTTTATAGATGGCTTTGGGTAAAGTTTCCGCGTGCGTGTAGTTTTAAGGTGCGCCTGTAATATGTGATAACGGCTTGTGAAGCAGGACCGTACGAGTATGTAGATATGACTTTGCGGAGGTTGACCTCCACGGGCGGGCCGAAAAGCACTTTGCGGCTGCTTACGGCCAAAATTGCGTCTGCGTAGCGGTCACGTTCGTTCTGGTTACCCTTGTCTTTTACAGAGCGCCCGCTATTTCATCAGCGGCCAGCATCTTCAGTTCTGAGAAAGTTGCATCTGCAGTTTGACGTTGGGCTGACATAGCCTCGCCTTGAGCTTGTTGCTGTATCTAAAGGATGTTTTCCCCATAGCCGTTACCGCGGACCACTCCGGGTGATTCTACACAAGCTATCTACCGTCCGTGTCTGTTTCCAGAACCGCATACATGTTCCGAGCCTTACAAGATCAGACACAACCTAAGGATTTCTTCAAATTCTGACTCCGCGTGGCTGCGTTCGGGACGCACATCATTCTCCACTGCCTCTCCCTTCTAACCCCGCCCAATATCCTCACGCCGCACCTAACACATTATCTACGAGTGCCTGATACGCAAACGGCTCCGGTTGGGCACTTGTAGGCAACAACCCAAAGAGCAAATGGTTCCGGCAGGGCACTACGATAAGTAGACTAAGCATATAGTCCTTGGGCGAATGCTTAGCTTAGGTTGTTACTTAACACCTGGTCGCAATCTCCGCAGTTGTGCGAGGACGGACGCGGTCAGGACTGTGCCCAGCGGTTAGCCAGATTGATTGCTATGATGCTTGGACACTAGCTTCAGCGCTTTGGAGGAGTACCGGAAGGGAGCAAAGTGATCACGAGAAATCGGGCCATGGCAATTGACGTTCTGAATGAAGATCAAGATGACGACGGCTGGGTTATGCAAGAGCTTCTTCTTAAACGAATTGGTACGTAGCAACAAGAGAAAAGCTGAACAGTCAATATGAAAACGTAGGAAACCGTCTGATGAAAAGCCATCCAATACCTCCCACCCAACCCCATCGCCCATTGCACGGCCTATTCTCCGACAACTCACACGCTGTCACGCATGCCTTCCTGCAGCTCAGGCCCGGGAATGCAAGCCATGAGTTGGGCCGCCTATCACGATTGCAGGGCGGCGGAGGATCTGGGGAATCTGCATAACGTCTGCATATGAGATCTGAGCTGAGCAGGGGGGAGGAGCGAGGATGTTATTATGATTTGGGTGCGGCTGAGCCGTGTCGCTGGAGGCGCAAGATGGTAACGCTTGTGCATGCGCGGCAGATCATTGGGTTCAGATTCTTTATGATGTCTCAACCAGGCATCAGACGTTGTCGGGTATTGTCCTAGAGTAACGTTAAACTACATCCACAATCCGCGACTCCACCGTGGTTGCACTCGAGGATCACGTGACTATATCCGATCTCCATGCTTTTCCACGCATTATTGCCATGCGGCCTTGACCATCACCAACGTCTTCCGCTCGCGCTCCAGTCCGCTCGCTACAGCTGAGCGGTCTCATTCCAGCGTCATACTACACTTCTCACCACTGACCCTTGGCCGGCTGAAGGAGTGGCGATCACGTGATTCGTCCTTCAGCTCTCACGATCGATGTCGCGAGGCTCGATCCAACTCGCTACTTCATACGTTGCGAGAAGTGCGACGCCCCGTTACGTCTCTCGTCACACAACTCGGCTGAGAATGTACAAGGCTGCACATGAAAGCAGAATGACTCTAAAATCAGCGGTCACGTGATGAGCACGAGAGCTTGACGGTTGTGGCGACGGCGCTGGGGCTGCGGATTGTATGACTTCGGCTATACCGCGCGTCAGGAGCCATCAAATGACCTGTCTGGAGGACTAGACTCACGCTCAGTTGTGCTCATATTGAACCCGCGCCGAAGTGCTGCCAGTGTATCCGCATTGTCGCTCGCGCACGCAGGGTCATCACGTCCAGGAAAGTCCTCGAACTTTAGAACCTTCTCGGCGCGAATGACCGGATTCAGACCGCGGTACCGCTGCGGGAAGATGACCGAGGTTTCCTCGTTGGAATGGCACTTGGACCACAGGGGATCGTTTCGTGGTGCGTTGTTGGCGTCGGCTTGGAGATTGGCGATGAGTAGCGGGGGTCCTTCAGGTGTGATCGTTGTCGGCTCTCCGCTGCCTTCGATGGTGACGCTCGAGCAGGACATGTAGTATTCCTTGTGGCCGCTTGCGTTTATCCATGTCCTGGAACTGTATCAGCATTGCTGTTGCGGCGGTGGTTTGCCTAGGCGCATCGTCTGCACTCACCATGCAACGATAACCCGCTCCCCAGACGGGAAAGTCTCCGGCACCTTAAACGTGAAGTCTTGGTTGGTGCCCTGCAGGTTCGTCACCTGCCCCTTCAGATCCTCCCGCACCCGAGGACAATCCCCTTCGTAGCTCTGAACCACGACCCATGTGCTTCCCTTGTCGTACGAGAACGCGATCTGGCACGAGCCTCCGCTGTGGACAGTGCCGTGCGTGTTGTTCATGGTTGCGCCGGTCGTGTTCGTGGAGTCGAAGAGTCTAGCATGTCAGCAACTGCAGGTGATGTGTGGTAGACGCGCTCACTGGATAGTCACAAGCTCTCCTGCCCTCCATGTCGCTCCAGGTATACCGCCAGGTCCGTCAATATCCAGATGGTGTCCTTTGCACGGGAATGGTTGCTGGCCGTATCTCCCCGGGAAGCCATTCAAAGGCATACCCAGCTCTTCAATGTCCTGAACTTCGCGCCATCGGAACGGCGGAGGGTTTCCCATAAACATGTGTGACTGCGCCAGCCCGAGGAGGGTACCAATGGTCAGGAGTATGCCGAGGTGACCCATCGTGGTGAGCCGTGTCTTGGAGACAAACAGCTTGCGTCCGTAACGAGGGGGGAGGAATCCTTCTGGCGTCGGTTGAGGCTGCTGGCGCCTAAGGTGCGTTCTCCTGAGCAGATATTAACAACTCGGGCAAGACCGAGGCGACATGAGGAAGCCAGCCCAACGGACTACGCGAGCGCGCCATCTTTGCGATCCTGGATGGCGGAGTCCGATCCCAGCGCGGCGTACTGCTGGCGTTGTTTTGCGCCTTGTGCGGCTGAGGAGGCTGAGAGAGAGCGCGGCGTGGGCTTGGTCTGTCTCACGTGATCCCTCAGACGGACCTCTTACACATCACCGCAGCAATCCATCAGCTCAACACACAAAACATCTCCTACGGAACAGCAGATTTGTCGGCTTGAGCTGCTCCATCTTTATAAGCGCAAGCATGCAACCATCAATTCAAACATGTGATCTCGGTTCAGCCACTTCCGGGTAGCATCTCAAGACGTTCTTTGGTCTCAAAGTATACCGCCCACCGTGTCTGAAGCTCCATGCTCATATTGAATTCCTATCTATGAGGGGGCAGTATAACTCACACTGAGCCTGTGATTAGCGAGACCGAGGACGGCTCAGCCGTCATTAGCTTTCATTGCGTCCTTTATTATCGTTCCTCCGGTTTGGCCTTCTTTACGCCTGAGTGCGTGTCTAGTCCACTATAACAATGGGATATTCTCATACAATTCCGGATATTCCCTTCGTGGTAATAGTGATGCTCCCTTGAGCCTTACTAGATGGCATACTATACAGGCTCCACATGAAAGCGTATGAGGATATAGAGCGATTCACCACCTTTCGACCGTATTCGGTCGAAACTGAGCCTTTTTGTACGGTGCGCGTGGTGCAACGGTGAATCCTGCACTTGTGACAAAGAGCCCAGTACCCTGTTACACGCAGCCTTATACAACTCCCTACTCCAACTGGTGAGGTCGGATAGGTCGCGGCTTCTCCGGTGTATCAAGGTAGGCCCCCTCCTTCACCAGGTTGATGTCCTTGCTCGTCATGCGAGTGCTATACTTGAACTTCGGATCATGGAGCCCAAACAACATGTTCATGGGGAACCCGACATCGAACGGGACAGCGGACTCGATGTTGTCGATCTCCTCATCTGAAAGCTCCAGGCTGAGGGCCTCGATGTTTCCTTTCAAATGCTTAATCTTGCGACCGCCAACGATTGGGAACACATAGGGGGCTTTGTGCATGACATATGCGAGTGCCTGCGAAGAGGATGTCAGCGCTGGAAACCGGTTAGATGGGAAGCAATAGGAACTGTCGTTGCGTACCACACTGGTGATCAAGGTTCCCTTCTTCTTCGCAATCGCCTCCAACTTCTCCGTAACCTTCTCGTACTTCTCATAAGTCGGAATTTTCCTGCCTTCCTCGCCTTCGCGCTCCCTCTGCTCCCTGCTTTTAAATCTGCCGCTTCCAAGTGGGCCCCATGGCGCAAGCCCCATGCCCTCCGCCTGGCACATGGGTAGGATGTCCCGTTCAAAATCCCGCTCCGCAGCGCTCCATTGCCCTTGGTAGACGCTGAATTGTGTCAGCCCGTGCTGGCGCGCGTACTCGTTCGCTTTGACTACCACCCAGGCGGGCGTATCGCTGACGCCGAGGTAGAGCACTTTGCCGTTAAGGATCACGCGGTTCAAAGACTGCATCAACTCGGGTATGGAGGTCGTAAAGTCCCACCAATGAACGTAGAACTACATGTGGAGTCGCGCATTAGCGGATGTAGCTGTGAACCGGAGATGAGCAGAAGTAGAACGAGTTGAGACTCACAAGGTCTATGTAAGATGTCTGCAGCTTCTTCAGTGATGCGTCAAGCGATAGATGCATGCTCTTCGCGTGGTTACCCTGAAAATTGGCCTTGATCTGCTCGCCGCCTTTGCCGGAAGGGTAGGCAGAGGTGTATTTTGTGGCAATGACCATTTGATCGCGGTTCTTGCGCGAGGCCATCCATTCGCCAAGCCACTCCTCCGATTCTTCGCCTTGGTAGCCGTTTGCGCTGCGCCCGCAGGTCAGAGGGCGGATTTACGAGTTCAGAGGTCCAAGACACGTACGTGTCAATAAAGTTTCCACCTTGCTCGAAGAAGTAATCGAGGATCTCGAAGGTGGTTATCTTGTCACAGGCTAAGAGCAGTCGATCAGGAATGTAGTCTGCCGAACACCGGCCTAAGGACATACATACAGCCCATGAATCCTTTCCTACGTGAAGTCAACGCCTTGCCGATTGCTGTAATGGGGACCAGGCACATACCACGCTTCTCCAAAGTTCATCGCACCGAGACACAGGGGCGAGACCCTGACTCCGGCTGATGGCGATAGGATGCGGTAGTAGCCAAGAAGGCTTTTGGGCTCAGGTGCTTGGGAGCCCATTTTTAGTGAAAAAGACAGTAAAGGATCTGAGTACTTGCTATACAAAAGCTCGCAAGTAGAGGAGACTGTAGCAAGCGTACTGATGCTTTGGAGTTTAGTAGGTAGTTCTTGGTGGAACACCGCAAATTCACTGAGGAGGGCTTGTATGTAAATTCTAATCGTTCATCCTTTGATGTCATCGAGTAAAGCATCACACTATTGGGATCTAGGGAAACTCTTTTGTCACCAGCCATCTGTGATTGGAGAACTCTCGGATGCAGACACCCGTGCGTGCATAACCGGGACCTAGCCGAGCCGTGCCTGACATAGCTAAGAGCGGAATTCAGGAGAGCTCCAATGTTCGGTATGTCAGTCTGTAAAGAGTACGAGTACACCCGGTCTGATACTGATAGCTTCGAATTGCGTGTTGAACATGGACATTACCTAATTAGCGACGACCGCGAACTATGCCTTTGTGCACGGGACGAGCACGTTCTTCGCCTAGAAGATCACACAATACATCCCGCCTCACGCTTCAAACTTGAGCCAAACCAGTCCGTCCACAGCACTCTCGTCACCGGCGCCTGCGCCCGACATGGGGTTATGATGCGACAGGATGCTGTCTCCAAGTGATCGTCCGCTCCCTCGAACCTCAAGACCTTGAGCGGTAGCTCCTGAAGGTCTGGTCTAGATTCCTTTTTCATCAAAACTCACCGACTAGCCCCTCGTCTTCCCCGCGCTAAGACGATTACCGGCAAGGATTCTTGCATTAGCGTACTACTCAGCCGAGCTTTTAGCTTGATCTAGGAGTTGCCTTCTAGCCTATTGCCGGTTTGTCTCACGTGATAACTCGACTGGGCGTCTTTCATAACACCTCAGGCAATCTATCGGCTCGATGTGTAACACATCTCAAACACCAAGACCGCAAAAAAAAAGCTTATCGGTCAGAGCTGTTCTCTATACTCAAAGGCAGATATATCGTAATAAGCCTAACCACGTGACCTCTTTCCAACACCACGTAGAGCGCGAAGACGGACACTCCCACCGAGTAATTATCTGCTCCCGCACTTCGATTATAGTTTGAATCATTGCGCTTCCTGTGATCGACAGACAACCACTGACTTCCAGGAGAGAATCTGAATTACCACTTAATTACACAGCATGAATCAATCTTCATTATCATATGGGTTTATGGATATAACCATACTAGGTATGAGTATTTTAGCTAAAGTATTACACATTCCTCAAAATTCCGCTCCGAAGCTATTGCCTCTCCTTGCATGAAACCATACATATAGCACTCGCTAACCAGCTCGAAGACGTCACCAGGCAGTCTCCTCAGGATAACTGGAATGCTACAGTTATGAAGAATCCATATCTCGTCACCAAGCCTGCAGTGTGTCGGAGCTAAACCCACCTGTCCCTTCTGTGTTACCAGTAACCGTCGTTGCATCTCGAAGGTGACGTGAATGAGGCGCTTGAGGAAGATATTCAGAATGGCCTCGGGATTTGCGGGTGATGTGCCATGTGCCGTAACCTGCATATTCTCCAACGTTTGGTTGAGTTCCAGCGTTCGTCTTTCGGAAATTTGTCCGTCCGCGAGCAGCCATAAGGACAGGGCCTTGTGCCCTATGCGCAGGTCCTTGTTACCGCTCCACCAGCTGTCCAATGCCCAAAGAAACTGGGGAGAGAGCTTGCCCTCCGTCACCGAGTGCACCATCGCTATAAGGATTTGACCAAGAAGACCCGATGGGATAGCGCTCGTCATGTTTGGGAGGACACCAATTGTGAGACTGTGGGCCACCGCCTCCAGCAGCGTAGTCCTAGACATGGAGAAGGGCTGGGTAGGATCGTCCATTTGCTGTTCGCAAGGATGGTTGGCTTCGAACTTATAATCTCGCTCATTCACGGATACGCCAACCCAGCCACCGAGTCCAGTAACATTTCCTAACAGGATGCCACCCACTTTAAGGATGCGAAGGTCCGTCGAAAACTCGGCGTTCCTCGGCAACCATCCACTGGCCTTGAACCGCAACTCCTCCCAAGGGAGACGCTGTCCTCCCTGTTTCGCTACGTCTTCCACCCCTGGTGTTTCAGTTGAAGAGTTGAGCATCAGGAGGTTCTCTAGGGCGATTGTGTTTCTGTAGATCTGCCCTTCAAAGCTGCTGAGGTCTGGCACCCAAGACGGCATTCCTTCGAGCCTTCTGGGGTAGGCACTCAGAAGAATCATGTCCAAGATTCCGTATCTGTGATAGCAGGACTGAACAAATGACGCGAAAACTCGACTCGTTGGCGTCGCATAATCGGGCCTTCCGACGATATCTAGCCCGTCTTCCGTCATGGCAAGCAGGGCATACAAATGATCCCGTGGGTCCATAGCTTTGAGTCGCAGCGCATTTAACAGTGTCGTCATTAATCGAAGCGGCCGGCGCGTCTCGTCCGGCCAGTATATGAACCTCATTCCCAGCTGATTCCTGACCATGTCTAGATTCTTGAGGTACACTCCTGGTCCGTCCTGGAGCGCTTTTTCAATGTAATCTTTCATCAACGTGATGTACATGACAGCGTATAACAGGTTCCAGACATCTAACCAGGGCCCCTCCGGGTCGAAGAGCTCCAGCCGGAGAGATACGATTGTCTCCTGCAGGATCCATGCGCGCGACCAGTATGGCACGCTGAGCAGCTCTACCAACGCCTTCCACCCTTCCACAAACTCGGGGTTACTCGCCGCTGCGACTATCCATTCCAACGAGCCGGGTTGTCTGTACTGCGTCGCCAGCGTTTTGAGCAGACTCAGCGCTGGCGTCGGGCGGAAAGAGCCAAGGTGCGCCACGGTAGCTGCGGCGCTGCTGAATATCCGGCTCATCATCTGCAACTGGCTCCCGCGTTCTTCCGTGTTAGCTTGGTTGATGCACACGGCGTCGACCCACCAACTGGCGTCAGTAGCCGATCGAAGGAGGTCGCGTAGGGCGAGGTAGAGGTTCTCTGTGACTCGTACCTCGACGCCGTTGATGATGACTAGTTGGTCGAAGACTGGTTTGCCCCAGACGTAAGAGAGGGCGTTGAAGCGGCGGAGGTTGGAGTCGTCAAGGGAGACGGCGTGCATGGTGAGAACGATAGGCTCGTCGCTCTGGCCAGTTGTTCTTGGAATGTCACGGGCGAAAGTCAGGGTTCGGATCTCGCTTTTTCTAGAATCCAACGGCTGATATAGCGTGCCCGGAAGTTCCTTCAGTTCTGTCCCTGTGCCTGTGCGGGCTATGTTTCTAAGGGCAAGGTCATCACACCGGTCACCTCCCCTCCTTGGAGCACGCCGGCGACCGCAGTATGATAGCATAGCTCAACTGGTTATTTACTTGGACGTTGGAGATTTCCTAGTTTCCCCCGCTGTAGCTCGATGTCCCCAATGTCCCGAAATGCCTTTGAGGTAAATGCGGGACTTTCACCTGTGGCTATAGATACACGCCGGAAGCGCTGGGTGGCTGAACGCTTACCCGTCGGCGCCGGAGGTTTCCTCGCGGGCGGGGGAGTATCGATCGATTTTTAGGCCAGTTATCAAGGTTGAGAGGTGCAAGGGCGGCCGAATAAATGTATAGTAGATTACTACATACTACGTGACCTATTTCATACTGGAATACAAAAGGGTAATATCACTCGGCGTGCGGTCGGCGGTGTGCGTTTTCGCGGCCAAGCCGCAGCGCACCAGCTGTAACACCGTGGCTTGACTGCCGCAGAGCCTCATTACATGGAGGGGTGGAGAACTGTATATAAATCTTGGTGGGGCTCTCGGGAAAACCAAGGAGACTTTTTTCGTCTAGCTATATAGGAGAGCTGCTGTTGCTCTCCGAATGAGGCTGGTGAAAACATGTTGGGACCGCCGTTTGGGACTCTATAGGCACCTCACACCGGTGCTCGCGTAAAAGGCCCCTGAGTGCACCACTCTGTTTGCAAGCGGTGAGCTCATCGTATCTGCTGTGAAGTCCGACGCAGGAATTGGCTCTATATCTCCTCCGAAAGTGTAAGGTAAACCACTCCCCTGTGACATATGTCTTGAAGACCCGCCTGACTGAAGCTCCGACAGCGAGTTACGTTGGTGGGGAGTCTGATGTTGCGAGTGGACAGGTGGTGTGTGATCTGTCTCCTGATGCGTTTCTCGACTCCGATCGTGCCGTTCAACTGCCAAGTTAATCGGTCGCTTGAGAACACTCCATGGGTCAGCTGGCGCGTGTAGTGTATACGAAGTGTATCACACATGCAATTCTTGTACAGTATCGTCAAGATTACTTCGATATGCGAAAGGCGCATCGCGCACCTATCCACAACCAATGAATCTACTTTTTCAAACCATGCTCCACACCAGCGTCCTGGCCCGGCGGGGCGGGATACCACAGGCACTCCGGATCCTCCCAGTCCTTCGAAAATTCAATGCTTTCAAAGACTGTTCCTGTACTCCCTTCCGTATCAAAGAAGCAAAAGTGGCATTCCCCTCTTCGGCCCTTCCATCGGCCCTCCATAGCAACATCGAACCCACGCGCCTTCATCCTCGCCTGCCGCTCCGCCATCGGCACATTTCCAAGATCAAAAGCTACGTGTTGAATTCCTTCGTTACCCCCGCTCTTTTCGAGGTACTCGGCCATGAGGCTGGGCCCTGAGATTGGCTGCATAATCTCAAAGGTCAAGGCGCCCTGCTTAGCGAAGCACACCTTGAGTTCGAAGGATCCTAGGCCCCCACGGTATTGCTGGGTAGGAACTGTGTCCGAATTGAAGCTGAAGACCTGGAAGGGACCTATACCAAGCTTCAGAAGGCCGTCCATGGTATGCTTGGCCGAAGGCGTTACGATGCATACTTCCATAATGGTGCCGAGGAACGGGCTGGGAATTTGGCTCGTGTTTGAGGATTGCATTAGGAGATTAATGTCAGGGGCTGTCGCGGCTGTAATCTTCGCCTTAACACACGAGGTTATCTACCGCACTTATAGCTACGGTTGTGCTTGAGCGTAATAATAACGCCCGATAAGAAATAGACGTCATTCTGCTACTTCTACCCCGCAGTTGAAAAATAATTGAAGTGCCAAGCCAGCGGGCAAGCGACCTCAAAAAGGCCTAAGGTAAGCTTTAGCTCTACTATTCTACTAAGAGCACCACCATATTAAAGAGAGTATATTCTAAGATAAATACTTATAAATATATATACAATCGTGGAAGTCTCTTTCATGCTTTTAGAAAGCTATTTAATTATATAGCTATGGAATATAGTCTTCTGCAGTGCTTTACTAGCTATTGTAGTGTTGCTGCATATAGCTAATTATCTTTTTACTTGCAAGAAGACTTTGGAGATGAATCACGTAAGCGCACGTAAACTGAACTACGCTTCTACTACGCTTTTTCTTTATATATTTCTACATCTAAAGATTCGCTACAAAAACAAAGTATATTACACTAAATTAAGTCTAAAGCTAATTGAAATAGAAGAAGTTATGCCCTATATCACTACTTTATACCTTGAGAGCTTCATGTATTAAACTATTTGTATTCTAGGTAAAGTTATTTAGCTATGCAAAGAGTAGACTACAATTGATACTAGTAGTTAGACTAATATATATTTGAATAAATTAAATACATTAGCGTTTTATTTTGTAGCTCAAATAGCTCTAAGCTAGATATAGCTAGATCTAATATATTAGAGCTAGATTTAATAGAATATATTTAGCTCTAGTAATTAAATTTCTACTTACTAAGCGACACTAACTATTTTAAGCGATCTATCTATTTTAAACGTCTTAGATATTTTAAATATTCTAAATATCTTAAATATTCTAGATATCTAGAGTGCTTTAAGTATTTTAGCGCGCTTATAAGCTACTTGCAAGCGCTTGTAAGCGCTTAAAGCATCTTAAATATTTTAGACTAAAGCTAATTTTCTAAGCGTCTGAATTTTTTCTAATATAAAACTTTATTTATTAAGTTCAATCTAGCTCTAAGTCTATCTAGCTATTAACTACTATAGTATTATTGTGGGTAAGAGGTTTGAGTATAGACTCAGGTGAGCAGGTCGTGCGTATCTGCGGAGGTGAGATATTAAGATAGGACTATTAAGGCGGCGATAGAATCACGGTAATAGGTTATATAAGGCTAAACAACATATAGAATGAGTGTAGTAATGCTTAATACTATAATATAACTAATACTACTTATATTAGTTATCTAATTAATTAATAATAATCCCTAAATCTCAGCACGCGCACTCTATACTAGCTCCTATATAATAAACCTCCTATACTACTATATACCTCCCTCACCTAGTAGCTATCCCCTAGCTGCTCTAATCCTCTAAATAGTAGTATAGATAGACGCTAAGATCGCTAAAGAATTAGAACCTTAAATTCTACTATTATAACTTACTACTAGTAAGTCCTCTCACTAATAGTGCTGCCGTAACCCCTTACTAGTAAGTCCTCTTACTAATAGCGGTTCGGTTTGCTATAGATCTATTCTAATGCATTTACCTCCTCTATAGTCTTATAGATAGCTTCTTAATCCGCCTTCTTAAGCTTCTATAAAGTAGCGGCTACTAACTCCTTCTCTAAAGCTATTAGAGAAGGTAGGATCTAACCCTTAGACTCTTTAATTATACTAGTAGCACCATTCTTAGGCTAATTAATACTAATAAAAGCACTATCCTTAGGTTATAACTCCCTACTACTAGAACTACCCTTAATAGGACCTATAATACCTCTAGAAACGCCCTCTATAAGCTTACTAATATTACTAGATACACTCTTAATAGGTTTCTTAACACCGCTATCCCTAAATACGCTCTTAATAGGTCCCTTAACACCGCTAGAAACGCCCTCTATAGGTCCACTAGTATTACTAGAGACGCTTTATATAGGCTCCTTAATAGGTCTAGAAGTACTCTCTTAGTGCTCGCCTAAGTCTAAATATAGAGACTATAGATTATTATCCGACGCAGAAGACTCTAATATCTCTTTATTACTAATTATAATAGGCGCGCTTAGATCTAGACCCAGTGTAATTTTAAGAAGAAGCTAATCTATTAACTAACTATATAAGGGATCCGTAGTAGCTAATCGCGTTAGAGGAAGAGGGTTATATAGTTTAAGAATACTAGACTTCTCCCCTATCGCTAGAAAATTTAGACCTTCTATACTAGGTATAGGCACGTCTTTATCGATCTCTTATTAAGTAGGCCCTTCTACTCTAAAAGTCTTACTCTTAGACTACTTATTATTAGAAGAATCCCCCTCTAGAGGCGCCTTATAGGCCCTTAGAATACCGGCCGAAAGGAAATAAGCTATACTTCTAATAATAGCTAGGTTATAATTAGGGGTATCGGATTCCTCTATTAATAGTTTATACTAGGTCGCTACCTCTATAACCTTCTAGGTATTAATATAAACTATCTAGTTACCTTTAAGCTAGTACTTATCTTCTCCTAACTATAGGTACCCCTAGTTAATAAATACATCCCTCCCTATCACCCTAATAAAGAATAGATAGGTAAACTAGACCTCCTCTACTACTTAAAATATAGTATAAGCCACCTAAAACTAGTTAAAGGCCCTTTAGTATCACACGTGAAGGTACTCTTTTTAAGAAGTAGGAGTCCTAAAGAGTTTTATAAGGTTAATAATAACTGCGGTATCTCTCTAGGAGACCCTATCTAATAATGTGTCTAAGACTAGATCTAGACTATATAATACTATATCTAGAACTAAGGTAGTGTTCTAAGACTTAAGGATATTACTATTATTAAAGAATACGGGTATCGCGGATTACTTTTAAATATACGCGACCCTAATATTATCTACATCCCTACTATATATAATTCTAAACTTATCTACCTTCCCTAATCCTTATCGTAGGCGGTCGCTATTATATTCTATACTTAGGTACTAGGGACGGAGATTGTCTAGACTTAAGCCTTAATTCCCGTTAATTAAGGCTTTTGGGATAAAAGGGTATATAATAAATATATAATACCTATTACCGCGCTCGGCGATCTCTAAATAAAGCATCTAAGAGTCCTACTATATAAGCTACTAAGATAGTGAGAATATTATATTTAGTAGGTATAGCTCTCTCTAGGAATTATTAGGGTGTAGGCACTTTTATTAGTACTACTAGTAGCACTAAAGAACCTAATTCCACTCTGCGTGAATATTCTAGTACTAAGAATTAAGAATACTTCTAAGGCTTTTACCCTTATAACCTAACTTAAGGCCCTCTATTACTTAATTATTTAGAAGTATTAGAAACCCGGGTATAGTTCTTTTTAATATAAAATCTAGAAAAATAGGAAATACCTATAATCTTTTAACTCTACAAGTATACTCGTCTTAGAAGTCTATAGTTCTTCTATTAAGAAATATTCTAAACTAGTATATTAATTCTATAACTAGTTGAGAGTTTTAGAGATTAACGTAAGAGATATACTCTATATAGATATAGAGAGTTTTGAGTGGTATATTATTCTATAGCTCTAAAAGCTCGCTAAGTTCCTAAATATAAAAGGCGTAAAGCCCTTTCTTAAAGGGCTTAAAATCGATTGCCTTTTAGAGTTATATCTCGATTATCTAGTTGGCTGGATCCCTATTTAACTTCTTAAGTTTAGGCCTATTTATTAAGTTAAGAAGTTCTATAGGGACTCGCCCTAAATATTAATAGGCTAATATCTCAGCCTCTTTTACCGCCGTAAGCCTATATTCTAGAAGTTCCCCCTTCTACTCTATATCTAGTTAACCTATCTCCTCTATAGCCTTACTCTTCTTCTTACTCTTTTATATAATACTACTACCCGCGCTCTTATAGTCTAGGCCTATAACCTCCTTACTATTTTTTAGTTAGTCCTAGAATCTTATTATGTGTTTCGGTAGTAATAAGTTATGTAACTTACCTCCCTAACACTTCTTACTCTCCTTCTTCAAAGCGGACTATATACCGGCTATAGTAAATAGTAGTAGGAACACTAGACTATCTAGAGCCTTAATAATACCTTATATATTATATTTTATTACCTACCCGCTACTCTAGACCTTAGCGGTTACCTTCTAAGCCGTAATTATACTAGTCTAGTACCTTATTTAGCTTAGCTCCTCGCGTGTAAATTATCTTATAGCCGCTTTCTTAGGGCCTAGCCTAATAGAACGTTATTGAATATAGTTATTAATAGTGTTAATTATATCTTACTTAGAGACTCTATCCTCGATCTATCTCTTAATTATTTATAGCTATTAATAGCTATAATTATATTTCTAGAAGTAGCACTTTGAGCCCTAACTTCTTTATACTCTCTAAATACTAATTTATATACTCTTAGACGTCTTTTAAATAGTCTATTATAGAGGACTACTTCCTCTTAAAGGTAGGCGTAGACCCTTTTTACTCTTTTTCCTACAAGTAGCCCACTAAGACTAGTATTACCGAATATAGCTTATCTTTAAGGATATCTAATACCTTAGATCCTAACTAAATAAAGGGATCGATCTTATAGGCCACTAGGTATTATTTATTTAGAGGTAGTAGGAGGAACTTACTAATAAACACATCCTTCTAGCCTATAATATCTATAAGATAGCTTATATTCTAAACTCGCTACAAGCTAAGGTCTTTAAAAGGTAGGTTATTCTCTTAGAGCTTAATATTAGCATTGCGGATAGCTTAATTAAGGTCCGGGTTTTAGCTTATTATAAGTATAAGGCTCTATAAACGTCTAGAGTGTTCCGTTTTAGCTATCTCTAACTATTTAATACTAAATAGCCGTGCAGCTTACTTTACTAGTATACCTATTATCTTACTTAGCGAGGGTGTCTCTTTAGTATAGAAAGTAGGGCCCGATCTTAATAGTAGCGCGAATATTAGGGTAGGTGTAGAAGTAGAAGGT